CAAAATCAATCAGGACCACAAACACAAATACATCCACATTCTGGCCTACGCAGCCAGCGTAGTGGAGACCTGGAAGAAGGTACTGACACCCTTCACTCTGAAATACCTTCACATCAGCTCAGGCATGTGGCTGTGATTCCTGTCAGTGGAAAACAGTGAAGCTTCGATACCATTTATTTACAGACTGAGTACATCTTTCAGTACTCGCTGAGACTGAGTCCGACACTATACTGAGTACCTACTTAGAATGAAGTATCTGTTAGTGTAAATGAGTGCGATGTACCTTAACAGTTAAATCATTAAATCTATCTGATGTTAATGAAGGTCGTTATCTAGCTCTGCTACATCAGTGATCTCTGATCGAGCAGCACTGCAGTGGAGGTTTAGTTCCCTGTCAGAAAAGCTCTTCTGTACAGCTGTAAGTAAAGTAGGTTTCATAGTTTTGATCCTCATCTGTCTCTTTCAGCAGCAGCACAGCGACAGCAGGGATCACATCCGATGCTGATGCATCCGAGGAGCTCACGCTTCCGGTTTTCTGTCTTGTTGGAGTCGTTTGATTGGCTGGTTGAGCTGTAGCTGAATGTCCTCTAAAGCCAGACAGACACTGTGTGATGTTAGAGATCTTGTTCTTTGGTGACTCTCACTGTCCGTTTGAATAAACCATCGTATTCAGACAAAGCTACGATTTATAAACTCGCACTGTACGAAACGCTCCGTCTGACTGACCTGCTACGGGAAACGCAGCCTCTACAGACGCTCTGTCTACAGACCATTATCAATAAAGCTGATTCACTCAGAATAACCGAGTACTGAGCAAACACACTGAGACTCTGAGCAGCGCTGCTAACACTGAGCACTGAAGATAAAGCAGGCGCTGATGTTCACGGTAGGACAGTTCGGTCTCTCTACAGCCTGATTTACAGAGAAATCACTGTATTAACGTTTATAACTCAATATTCAGTCAGAGTAAAGTCTCATATACAGACTTTTTCTCCTCCGTTTTGTTGGCCTGTGTGTCTCAACCTGTGTTGGTGAAGCGGTTGTGATTGTGTGTTTATAAACAGTCTATAATCTCTCAGTGTGTCCTGGTGGGAATCTGCCGAGGGGGAATGTTTAAAGTGACCGACGGCTTTGTGTCCGACTGTGACGGGGTCAATAGTTCTTCTCTGTGTGAGCAGATCCTCCTTCACTGGGTTTGTTCATTAGCGCAGCAGCTACACTCGGCTTACGGCACAGCCGGTATCAGCTGGTATTGGATGTTCATATTGATGAATTTTTGTGAGTTTGAGTAAATGAGCGCAGTATCGGCCTGATACTAGTATCATTATCGATGCACCCCTAATTAAAAAAATTTGTTTGATACAAGATGCAGCAGTTAATTCTAAGTATGAAGAAAATGATCTTCAATGTTGATTAAAAGTTTTTAAGTGAGTTTATTACGACGTCAGTTTAGTTTTACATTCCAGATTGTCTTTGTGTTCAGAATCTCCATTGGTTCTTTTTTTATCCAGAACAAACGTGTCAGTATCAATAAGGACGAGCTGAAGTCGACGTCCAAAGCCATCGAGACCGTTCATAATCTGTGCTGTAATGAAAACAAAGGAGCCACAGAGCTGGTAGCAGAACTCGGCACCCTTTACCAGTGCATCAGGTAACCACACCCACATTCACACAGATGACCACTTCCTCTCGTTAACATGTTCATGCACTTATTAACATGTTTAAATATAAAATCAATTTGATTATCAGTCAGTGATAAGGACTCCTAAATCTTAAACACAGTCATGGTTTAAATAAAACTAATACATTCTGCCCAGAACTGACCCTTATAACACAAAAGAACCTTTTCAGAGAACTGATAACAGAATCTAGAACTACTGGAGTTTCAGTTTTGATCTTTTTAAATTAAACTGGTGATGATTTTGCTGGAATTTTTAGCTGCTTAAAATGTGCATCAGCTTAAAAAAGGTATATATTGTCTGAATTCTGTGGTCAGTTTGGTCAGTGATTCACAAGCCGAGGTATAGTGACCCGTGTGTGTGTGTGTGTCTGTGTGTGTGTCAGGTTTCCGGTGGTAGCGATGGGAGTGCTGAAGTGGGTCGACTGGACAGTGTCTGAGCCTCGTTACTTCCAGCTGCAGACTGACCACACGCCTGTCCACTTGGCTTTACTGGATGAGGTAACCCACACACACACACACACACACTGTACACACACTACATACACTGTACACACACACTACACACACACACACCGTACACACTACACAGTACACACTGTACACACACTACACACTGTACACACTGTACACACACTACACACACAGTACACACACTGTACACACACTACACACACCACACACTGTACACACACTACACACACTACACACACTGTACACACACACTGTTCACACAGACACTACACACACATTGTCCACACTACACACTCCCACTACACACACACTACACACACTATACACACTACACATTATACACACACTATACATACACACACTGTACACAGTGTACACACACTCACACTATACACACACCATACATACACACACTACACACTCGCACACTCAGTTTCACTGAGAACACAAACTGCTCAGACAGTCTTCAGACAGTCAGTTTTCCCAGATTAACCCGTCTGGATCTCCAGGCTGAAGCTGAGCTGCTTTGCACTGTGACTCGACTTCCATAAATGCCCTGACTGTATAAATGACACAATATGATTTTATACACTCATTCACTGTAGGCTTATTGGTTAACCTGCAGACTCTGTTGCTCTCGCTGGATGTCGGTGATGAACATTAGAAACTGTTCACTCTGTGATCTTCATGTTCAGGTTCTGCGCTCAAAATAATGTTATTGAATTACTCAAAGTAATAAATACATTCTGATGGATCTGGTTGTTACTCATGCAGCTGTCGCTGCTTTAGAATCTAATTTAGGCAAATAAGACCAAAAAATCATCATGATTAACTACACAATAGAACATGATTGACACGCCTGGCAGCCCTAGAATTGAATATGTATTTAACATGTATTTGTGTTTGTACTGTACGTTCAGTGTATTTATATTGTACATTCAGTGTGTTTTACTCTATGTTTAATGTGTGTTTAGTGTGTTTAATATGCATTTAATGTGTTTTGAATGTGTTTAATGTGTGTTTAATGTATAAAGTATGTTTTCCCCCTCAGATCAGTACCTGCCATCAACTCCTCCATCCGCAGGTTCTGCAGCTGCTCGTCAAACTCTTTGAAACAGAACATTCACAACTCGACGTCATGGAGCAGGTACACACACACACACACACACACACACACACACAGTACACACAGTATACATTACACACACACACACACACACGTGCGCGCACAGTACATACACACACACACACACACACATTCACTATACACACACTGTACACACAGTATACATTACACACACACACATTCACTATACACACTGTACACACAGTATACATTACACACACACACACGTGCGCGCACAGTACATACACACAGACACACACACACACACATTCACTATACACATACTGTACACACAGTATACATTACACACACACACACACACACATTCACTATACACACACACTGTACACACAGTATACATTACACATACACGTGCGCGCACACAGTACACACTACACACACATACACACAGTATACACACTACACATTGATGTGCTACACAAACACAACACACAAAACTCAAACACATACATTACGTACATACACATTATACGAACACATACACCCTTCACACATAAACACACTACATACACTCTCACTCACTGTGCCCATGTGTGTGTGTAGTTGGAGCTGAAGAAGACGTTGTTGGACCGGATGGTTCACCTGCTGAGTCGGGGTTACGTGCTGCCGGTGGTCAGTTACATCCGTAAATGTCTGGAGAAACTCAACACGGACATCTCGCTGATCAGATACTTCGTCACTGAGGTGAGGCCAGTGATGATGATGATGACGATGACGACAATAATAAAAATAATTAGTCATTTCAAAATGTCAGAGTGCTGCTGTGGATTTTGAATAAGTTGTCAGATGAATATCGTAACAGTTTAAACGGTATAAAATAAACGGTGGAGGTTGTAAAAGTTCTTTCAGTATCTGATAGATCAGTGTGTTTTTGTTCTGCCGCTGTTCTCTCAGGTTCTAGATGTGATCGCTCCTCCGTACACCTCTGACTTTGTTCAGCTGTTTCTGCCGATCCTGGAGAACGACAGCATTGCTGGAACCATCCGCACTGAAGGAGAACACGATCCTGTGGCTGAATTCATCGGTGAGTGAATTACAGTCATGTTCAAAACTCCAGTTGGAGCTCAGGTCCAGAAACCACAGCGAACACACTCGTACTGACCGTCTGCAGAGTTTCAGATCTGTGCAGGTGGAACATGTCCAAACACTGATTCTGCTTTCAGTCTGTATGTTATGAAGAGCTGCTCTGCGGTGTTCCACCTTAACAAACCCAGAAATAAAACCTGCAGTCTGCTGCTGTATTGTGGTTCTGGTGGTTCTCGTTTGTCTCACTTCCTGTTTGTGTTCTTTTCAGCTCACTGTAAATCCAACTTCATCATGATGAACTGAGTTCCATCCTGCAGAAGAATCAGAACTGCGAGACTATCACGGATATCAGAGTTTCATTGCTCGTGCGGTTTGAGCTCCTGCGTGTGAAGCTGACTGAGCTGATCTGGAGTTTTTCTTTAATTCTACTGAAGCTGATCAGTGTTGACGCTGGATGACGAGCAGGATTGTTTTCACAGTAATTTAAATGTTGGGACTTTAATTGTGAAAAGCTGTTTTGGTAAAATGTCTTAATCATGTATTCTATTTTTCATAATTCTTTTGTTTGTACAATAGATGTTTTTCATTTAATAAAAGTTGGTGGTGTTGAGTTTGCAGTGTTTATTTAAAATCTATCTACAAACACAATCAGAGAAGACAGTCTGAAAACAAACACAGATTCAAAAACACCCAAAGCTTTATTTATTTAAGACATGCAGAACAAGAACAAACCTGGCAGTGAGGAGGCAGTGCAGAGTTTCACTGCAGGTCTGTTTGTTTACATTCGGATCCCTTTTCAGCTCAGAACTACACTAAACCACCTGCAGCTGATTCAGACAATCGGAGAGAAGTTCATCTACTGGCACATGAACAGGAATTCAGTTTGATTTTACAGAGTGACTCCAATTTTTAAGCAGACATGAAAAGATTAATTCAGCAGAAACACCAGAGAAGCGAAGAGCAGAAACATCGGTGGTTCTGATTCAGATTAACGCAGCACTGAGATCAAAAACAGAACCTGTGAATGAATCTTTGGTTTCAGCAGCAACTGTGACTTTCCCTGAACGCGTAAAAGTAGCGTCGACTGAGCTCGGCGTTCGGCTGAATTTAGACTCGAACACAGAGAGTCTGATTTAGCTTCTAGACGTAGCTCTGCGGGACGATTGGATCCCCATACATGCAGTCCTCCTCCAGAGCCAGATTATAGTGACTCCCGCTGCCGCCTTTATACGCACTGGTGACGATCCTCAGCCAGCCATGTTCACCCTGAACAAACAAACAAACAAACAAACACAAACCAGAGAAAATACTAAAATCAACATTCTGACAAAAAGAAATCTTAAATCTTCTACACACTTTAAACATTGACACAGCAGCAAACAGCTGTTTTCTATATGAAGACTGCAGTAACAGCGTCCTGATGTTTCTTTTTGTGTTAGTTGCTTCTTGAAAACAAACTCAGATTAGCACTGTTTTCTTGTAAAGGCCTTCATCTTAAACTTAACTGTGAATTCCGATGATTACAGACTCTTAATTGATGTTGCAGAAACAGAAACAGCTCTTCGCCTCATTTACATATCATCACAAATGACACACCCACTTATGACATCAGGCATCATTTACATGCAAAACTCCCTTAAGCTGAAACTGCAGAAGCTCTTCTGAATCTGACTGAACATCAGTTACACAAACGTTTGTTCACATTTACTGCAGAATGTAAAAATATTACTGAGGCAACTTCGCTCTGTTCATGAAAACTACTCACATCCAAACTCAAACAATCATGAAGCATCAAAGAGCGGCAGAAATGTTTAAACTGCACTCGACAGAACAGCCATTCACTGCTGTCAGTTTTTATCATTATTAAATCAGTTATTGATCTTTGGTGATTATCACCACTTCACCTCCTAAACACACTTAACTATGATAAAAAACCACTACCACCCTCTGCTGGCTGTTTTGTATGTGAAAGGTGTTCCGCTCACCCACGGTTCTCCCCAGGAGTTCCGCACGACCCAGTACTCCACTCCTTTCTCATCGACACCCCAGCCGGCCACAGACACGATGTGGTTGATGTAGGGATCCTCCACGTACTCGGAGTACAAACCTCCCATGTACGCGTCCAGTTTAGGAGTTGCCATGATTCCACAACTACAGACCGAAACAATAAACTCGCTCAGTGACGGCAGAACTAACCCCACTGTGAACATTCAGCACTGCTGTACAGCGAAATACAGGACGGCATCACAAACAAAACAAAGAAATTTATGATAGACAATGTTTATACTTTCAGACATCTGATCAGTTGGAACAGAGACGAAAAAGCCAGTAGAGCTACATTAAAAAATACCATGAAAACTGAAAATTTTTATTCAGTATTTGTCACTAAATCAGTTAAACAGACTAATTTTGCTCTTATTATAATGAAACATGCAGTTGGTCAGTGTTACTGATGATACACACAACATGTTCAGAAAAGAATATTGCATTGTGACAATTTATCACGATAACGAGGAATATCATCATAAAACTCATTTTACAACTGAACTGCACTCCACTCAAGAACTTTCCCCTGAAATATTTCAGCTGAACAGACCCAGAGAGAGCGTCGACTCCAGGGAAGGAGAAGTTTAGCACATCGTATCTTTCTTTCCTCTGAACAGTTTAAGATCTACAATCTGTAACCTTACGGTTTAATATCAATCTTGTGACTTTGTAAACATTATTGATCCATTAAACTCATGCAAAGCAGCTCTGATGGAGAAAAAAGAAAGAGTGAAGGTACCAAATGTTCTCACAACTGATCACGTCCTTTAATTTGCATTCGCAAAATCTATGAACATCTAAAAGATTTTGAGAAATCTAATACACAATATGTCTAAAAGTTTGTGGACACCTCTTATTATCAATGAATTCAGCTGCTTTAAGGTCCCTCACTGCTGACACAGGAGCTCAAATACACGCACAGCTTGTATAATCTCCATAGAAAAGCACTGACCAATACAATGGGACACTCTGGAGCAGTGGAGCTGTGCTCTCTGTAGTGATGGAGCTCCATCCAATACCTTTGGGATGATTATTCCTGACCATCCAACATCAGTACCTGACCTCACTAATGCTCCATCAAATTCTCACAGCAGTGTTCCAGCATCAGTACCTGACCTCACTAATGCTCCATCAAATCCTCACAGCAATGTTCCAGCATCAGTACCTGACCTCACTAATGCTCCATCAAATCCTCACAGCAATGTTCCAGCATCAGTACCTGACCTCACTAATGCTCCTGCTGCTGAATACAATCAACCACAATATTTTGTTGACCAAGTTAAAAGTTCTAGGCGTGAATGGTTTTGCTGTCAATGTGTGGATTCATATTTGATGGGATGGAATCAGGTGGCTGTTGGAGACGAAGGTTCTCGGTCTTGATCCATTAGTTGAGAACTGAGACGAAGGCTCTCTGTCTTTGTCTTGATCTGTTAGTTGTGAGGTTCCCCATGGGAGCATTTTAGGGCTCTTCTGTTTTTCCTTTTGTTCATGTGAACTTTTTTTGTTTGCAGATGATTCTTCAGTTCTGTTCTCCCATTAAGAAAAGAGTATTATAGAATGTGCACCGAGTGAAGAACCTGTAAAAGGTAATAGGTCGGTGTTCTAGAAACAGGCAGTCACTTCATTTACAGAATCTATTCTGTGCTGTTTGAGGAGAAAATGACAGCAATCTCTGGTTTTAAGGTGGTTGTTGGCGAAACTGTAATGGAAGCTAAGAATTCACTGAACGATCTGGGCTGTATGTTATTTAGTTACCTGTCAGGACGAGTCGGGCAGATAAAGTTTGACTGAGGTTAATCAAAGGACTCGTTTTCTCACCGGAATTTCAAAGTGTTTGGACAGTGGTGACCTTAGCGGGAGTTTTGGTTCAATGTTATTTTGATAATTGCTTGGTGGTTTGATGGTATTCCCGAATACATTAAAACAGGCTTAAAACTTCTCAAAACACATTTAAAATGACTGTATTGATGTGTGTAGTGATTTTGTATATTTGCTGGGTTACATCTGTTGCCCACTGTTGGATCTGTTTAGAGACCACAGTGGAAATAAGTCTTCAGACATAGTTTCCACCGTTTCGGTTTTTTTTATGTGCATTGTCTCTTTTAAAGTCTTTATTTTAAAATTGTGAAGTGGTCTAATAAACAAAATCAATCAATCAATCAATCAATCAAATCCTCACAGCAATATCACATCAAGTGTACAGACTTTCCTGAAGAGTAGCGACAGTTACTGCAGCAGATGGACAAATTCTTTTTTAATTCTCTTGATTCTGGAAGAGACACTGGATGAGCTTAGTCCACAAACTTTTGGCCAGGTGGCATATGTAGACTTTTAAAAAAACAAAACAAAACAAAAAAAAACCCTAAATATAAATAGACTAAATATGCAGAACATGAATAAAAAGAATGAACCCAAAGACCGTCTGCGTCAGTTAATTACAAGAGGACAGGTCAGTTCTGTATGTGAGAGTAAGGCTTTTCTACTCAGATCATACTGGACGTTTTCCTGTAGCTGCATCAGATTTAAAACCCTGATGCCTACAAAGCCAAAAACGGTCCAGCCCCTCCCTCCCTGATGGCAGTGGTCAAAACTCGAACTGTACCTCGAGCCCATCGAGCTTCAATTACAGCTCGGCTCAGCCCGCCATCCTTCAAGACGCATGGAAGACAAGCATAAAGACTCTTCTCTGTCCTGGACTCCAGGTAATGGAACGAACTCCTACTGGCTGTCCGAACAGAAGAGTCTCTCGCGGCCTTCTCTTTTCTCTCTGTAACAACATGGACTTTTGTTTCTAGCAGTATCTGAGCTCAGGTCTGTCTTTCCCTCTAACCTATTGGTAACTAGCAAAGATACTTTCTCTAGATAGACAAAGCACTTTTTGTAAGTTGCTCTGGATAAGAGCGTCTGCTAAATGCTGTAAATGTAAATGTGTTACCTGATGGGTCCTCTAGCGTAGATCTCAGCCTTCATCTTCTCCAGACCACTGACGGAGCCATAATCTCCCACCTTCCACACAGTGTAGTTCTTCACAATGTTACACTGACCAAACGTAGTGCAGGTCCCACACTGATTAAATGGTTTACAGTCTGGACACAAAAATACACAGGAAAAAAACAAAAAAAAACAAAACAAAAAAAACAGAAGAGTCAGTTTTTCAGTGTTCATAATAATAATAATAATAATAATAATAATAATAATAACAACAACAACAACAATAATAAATTCCAGGTTTATTACTGAATATCAGCACACTTAGCTGCAGTTCTGTGAACAGTATTTGTATCTAAAGGCATTCAAACTCCCTCATGAGCTTCAGAGAATCGCCTGCGCTGACTGATTGGTCACACTGTGAACTTCGGTGCGATATCTGTCCAGGTGGGCCGCAGGTGGGGGTCTTACCCTGGTCTTTGGCCTGGTAGTTGTTGCAGGTTTCGTCAGGGATGCCGTTGGTGTTGGCGTACTCCCACACGCCCGAGTGATCTCCCCCGTTACAGGAACCAGCGTTTCCACAGTCAATAACATTCTGGACTGACAGATACGCGGACGGCCACGCCCCCTTCCGCTTGATGTTGATTCGGTCTGAAATAAACAGGTGAAGATACAGATTTACTGGACCTGCAGCTCCAGTCGAGAGAGTGAGCGCAGACGGACGCCGAGCAGCTCACGCTGTTTTTTATCTGTGATCAATTTTACGCACAGAAACACATAACTTACATTCAAGAACAATTTTCTTTACTAAAGAACCCTTGAAGAGCCATCATTCTTAAGTGTGTGGTACTAAATCCTTAAGAGCTGATTTAATCACATTCCTCGCCAGCACTGTTGCTGATTTAGCTTCATCACTGCAGTCGTCTGCACTCGAGGGAGACAATATCCTGATAAAATAATAGCCTTTTTTTTGTGATACTCGTATATTTGGATTAATATAGTCTGATTAGCAGTGATTAGACCAGCACAGATTAACTGTCTCTGAGCTGGTGTGAAGGTGAAAGAGCTCATTGTCATTTAATAAACACACACAGATGTCTGTTAATGGGAGGTTAAAGCACATCAGTGTGGAGATTCCCAGAACCTGCTAATCTCACTGTGATCCCAGAACATACTCAGAAACATGCCGACAGAACCGGTGTAGTAAACGGTGCACTGAGGCACAGGAACGATGCCCAATTCAGCAGCGACTCCTGTTCTGAGGAACTAACAGAGCCTGAACTGCAGGAAGTGGTTCAGGATTTTACAGAATATGCTCGCTCACGTCGCAGGAGATAAGAATTCAGCCAAGTCAGGTGTGAGTCAGGTGTGAGTCAGGTGGTGGTGAATGATCTCCAAAAACACATTCAGTTCACTCACAGAAACAAAGACTCACAAAAACAGCACAAACCTTTAAATCAGTGCATTGAAAGATGTATATAATCAGGGCTGTGTGTGAAAAGTTCCTGAAACCTGATTACTGAGTAACAAACACCACAGAGGTGAGCAGTGTTTACTGAGTCTGATAAACTGCTCTGTTCGGCTGATGTGATCCGCACCTGCGAGGGCGCTCGTGCTGCCGTGAGCCCAGCAGGACCCGCAGTACTGAGGGATGTGCTGATTGCGTGTGGTGCTGACAAAGTTGGTGCCGTTGATGTTCCTCCAGTCCCAGGCTTTGGGCAGATCTGCGGTGTTCAGATACTCGTGAGGGCGCGGGACAGTCCTGAGGAGAGCAGACACACATACTGCACAGTGTTCTCAGTGATGGTATTACAGTGTAACAGGAAGTGTAAACTTCACACTGGTGAACAGTGATGAAGTGCTAAAGTGAAGAGAACATCACTAAAATTACTGCACACAAAATAACTGCATTTTAAAATAGAACAAGATTTCAACTTACAAATTACAAATAATTAACTAATGTCCTTATAAACTGGCAACAAACGTTCACACAGCAAACAGCGTGTTGGCAGTGCCCGCGCACACACACACACACACACTCATGCACAGGCTGTTCACATCTCAGAGCCAAACGAACACAATAGACAAAAAGTCCAGCTGGACATTCAGACCCAAGGCGACACCACCATGCGGTTTAACTTCAATCTGTGCAGATTCTGGACTTCTGCTACCTTTTCAGCACCCTGAGCTGTTTTTCTCTTAATGATTTCAAATGCCGAATTGCCATGACGTGAGACGCCTCCAACACACTGAGCCAAACATGGAAAATGAGAAGGGACTGAACTGATTCCATTTCAATAATAAAAGGATAAAAGTTTCAAAACCAAACACTTTATAAAATGCAACTGATCTGGAAAAATTAAAGGGCGAAATCAAACAAACAATCTGAGTTCAAACAGTCAAATAAAGGACCGGAGCGAGAAAGAAGACAGGAAGTCTGAGTTTGGAGCAGCTGAGAAAGATGGAAACGTGATGGGAAGAAGAGAGACACTGAGTCTCATCTGAGACCTCATTACGCTGCAGTTCTGCTTTATTATCACTGTAACTCAGAATGAATGGAAAGATTTATGATCCTCAGTTTCAACACAAGACAAAGAATTTCACAGTTTGGTCTGCAGGTGCTCCGTTTTCCTTCTTCCTTATTTGTGTGAAAGCTCAGCTTCTCTCTTCTCTACACATTTTAAAGGTAGAAGAAACTTTCCTCTCTACAAAATATTAGATTTACAGTGTACATTTTATGTGAACTGCATGCAAATATAATCTATATGACACACATTATAATAGATATTACACACTTTTCTGACTCGAACTGGAGCTTCAGAAAAGCAGTTAAACTACAATAAATGGTTACTAATGGCGGCATCATCATCATCACGATGTATTTTCAGTGTAAAACTACTGATATAATCAGTCTATTAAAACAAACACGAGGGCTTCTTATTCACATTTCCCGTTCCACCTGTTGCATTCAAGCATTTAAGGTGGAACGGAAAATTCGAATAAGAAGTCAATTTCAGCTTCACCAGTGAAACAAAGTTCGTTTTTTCTGTAAGTTTAAAGGTTAAACTCGGAGACACTGAGCACTAAAAGTCACTTCCTGAAAGTTCAGATGAGAGCAGAGCAGAACTGTGAAAGATCTCCAGCCTGAAAAAGAGACTTAACTAAAAAAAACAGTTGTTTACGTAGTTAAAACCGGCTGTTAAGTTACGTAGTTTGCGTAATGTTCCGGTTGAGCTGCGTATTGTACGCATTATCCGCTAAACGCAGCGAAACGTAAAGGGAAGTTATCTAGAGTTTAAAACCAGATTAAACACAATTAAAAACAACAGCCGTCTGAATCTACAGCCTCAGTAGTTAAGAAGTCTTTGACTGTCTGTGTAAACACGCGAGTTTTATCGTCAAGTTATTTTCCTTATTTAGTTTCTCTTTGTTAAAACACAGAATCAATAATAATAATTTCATACTTCACTCCCAGCTGGTTCCTCCGCTGCAGAGGTCTGAAACACGGCTGATCCGCGTTAAAATATCGACCAGCAGAAACGCCGGACAATGTAAACAGATACAGCAGCAGAACCGGAGCCATGCTGAGCTGAGCTGAGCTAAACTAAACTGGGCCCGGCGGTCATATGACTCCCCGCCGCCTCGTCGGCTTTTTATCTACCGCGGGGGGCGGGGCTTTCAGCGGATCTAAGGCGCTTATTGGCCAACACCAGCAACATCGTCCGAGATTCGTTTGCATTAACTTCTCGGAGCCGGCGTTCCAAATACTGCGCATGCGCACACCGTCAGAACAGAACACAGACTTCAGGCGCGTTCCGGCCTGCAGTTCTGTGGGAGGTGAGCTGTACGAGGTGATCAGACATTCAGAGGGAGATTCCGAAACACAGGGACTGACAATTTTTGTTGAAAGGGAACTTAAAACAGCCCCTCAGTCATGGTTATAATTCAATATATATTCCACATTGTTACGTAATGACACAACTGCATAAAGGCAGACTAACAAACAAGACAATAAAACCATAATCTACTTTATGGGGAGATTTTTTGAGCGTTGAAAGAAAATCAAATAAAGTATCTGCATCAAAGACACAAACACAGCAAAAGGTTAGTCACTTCACTCCCAAAACTCTGTTGTTGGATTTCTCACTACTCATTACTCCTGATACTTCCTAAAACAAGAACAATGATCTGCCAACATACTGAGATCATTTCATTGTATGAAATTCCTTAAATATAAAGAAGTCTAGAACTAACTTAGTCTTATAATATTCTTACCATGATCTCAAAATGAGAAACATTAAATATATCGATGAGATCCTGGGGGGTCTTTCACCAAAGAATCACTAAATCCTAATTTAATTCAGCGATTTAATTCAGTGACAGTTTACACTCTGAAACATGCAGCTTTCTCTGAACGTTTATAACGCAGCGCTTCAGAGATCATTCAGTGGAAAACAGCATGATCACCTGATTAAATCCAGACCCGTTTTAAAAGTGATGAATGTGAAGGAACATTCAGAAAGATTCTCACTTTCATTCAGTAATGAAACGACTGCAGATCACCGTATTCTTTAACTCTTTACTTTAAAGGTCCAGCTTCACCGTCGACACTGTATTCCTCATTTTGCCACACTTACAATATTGGCATCAAAGTGAATTTAACTATCCATAGAAAGAGAACAGACATCATGAACTGACAGTCACTGCATCTCTAACATCATCCAGAACAAAATCTGTGAGAAAAACACCAGAAAAGTGATCCATTTTCTCAGTTTTCTGTCTGGTATCTTTTGATGTAAAATAAATTTGTTACACAGTTTTTTGATTATGATTATGATTAATGAAAGTGAAGATTCACTTTCCATCAACACGGCTCATAACATTAAAATCTGACAGCTTCATCTTACAAAACAATTACTTTGCACTTTTATTAAACGACACAGTGTTCAGAGGCGTTTCTGAGGGAGGAGCTGAACTGTTCTGAAGGTCTTCAGTACGGAGGGGTGTGTGTGTGTGTGTGTGTGTGTGTGTGTGTGTGTGTGTGTGTGTGTCAGTGGGATGATGGGGTCAGAAAGTGTTTCAGTGATAACTGATTTTAGTGGCTTCTGAACACAGGAGCTGTGGAGCAGTCGGAGATGATCATCAGACCAGTCTTCTCCTCTTGCTGTCTCTCTCCATTTGATCCCCAGATGAAGCGTTGGCTGCCGTGACGCCCAGCGGAGACACCATGTTTAGCACAGAGTCTTCAGATGCCTGACCGAACAGCGCCAACAGTAGAGCCACCCCGAAACCTGTCGCCCGCTCGCCCTGCACAGGACACAGGTACGTTTATTTACACTGAAGTAGAAATCAGACAAATCTTATTCACCACTAACTGGACAAGAACCACAGAAACCAGAAGTCGTATTACAGAACCATCTTAACTCTGAAATCTGTTTAGTCTCCATGACGACTTCCTAACTTCATAATCTCACCATAAACTCCAGATAAGAAAACAGCATCACACAAACATCCTAACTAGACTAAATCTCCTAAATCCTGTCCTAACTTTAGGATGAACCCCAACAGGGTCCTCACTTCTGTTTAAGGTCTGTTTCTATGGTTTTTAGGCAGCTGTGTCAGCAGCATAGTTCACTACCAGCATAATGAGCTCCATTTATTTCTACTGTAAAACGCTGCTTTCACTGTGAGATGATTTTCTTTTCTAACTCTGCGTTTTAAAGATCTCAGACGCTGCAGACTCGATCTCCACCGCCCCTCTGATCACCTTCGTGTGTTAATGTTGATGATGAAATATTACAGTGATGGTGGTGAATAATGAGGAGATGGAGCTGAACGTGTGTCTGTTTATTAGGAGGAGTAACATTAGCGCGCTCGGCTAAAGCGAGAGAGAGGATTCCTTATCAGAGCGTTTTAGTGAAAACTAAACTTCCAATAAGTGCTTATTAGATGACCAACACTGCCGCTTTATTCAGGCTGGGAAAAAAGGCAATACGTTAAGAGGGATCATATATATTTAAACTACAATCAAAAGGGAGTAATTGATTAGTTGCTATTCTAAAATTAGAATATGTAACGTCTGATGATGTGAGATTGTGTAGAATTTATAAAACTGTAGATGTGAGAAACCCAAAGCACCGTATGACCTTAATAAGCTTAAAGTCGAAACCTTAACGCAGAACTGCTGGTGTGAAACCCACACCTGCATCTCCTCCAACACGGTCTACTCACAGCGTGCACAGGTGAGGCGATGTCCACGTGCACCCACACACCAGGCCAGTCGAAGCCCAGGTGAGAGCCGATGAACAGTCCAGCACAGGAGCTCTGAGCGTTTTCACGGTCCTGCAGAAACGCAGCAGACAGACATTAAACACCTGACCACAGACGAGCACACGGTGAAGCATAACACCATCACTAAAGCCCTGGATTCACTGCACGACTTTACAGTCTTAACAGATTATAACACACCCGGCGTCTCACACTATCACACTGGTTTCTGCAGATTTTTCTGGGTGACTGAAATATTGGGGATCCACACTAAACGATCAGGGGTCACACAATACTCAACTTTTCAGAACTCATGTGTGTTTTCAAATTAGTGGTGCAAATGATGCAAATAAACTAACAGAGCTGCTGCTGTTTTCTCTGCCATTAGCACTGAAACCGTAAAGAAGCAGCAGGTAAACATGTCTGAGTGAGGATCATGGATGTGAAGATGTGGTCAGTGTGGGGTTTTTAGAGTTTTAAATGTACATAAACTCGATTGTTCCTTAAACTCAGTTCATTAAAAAGCTTCGCTCCACATGTGAGAGACTTTTCAGCATTTCTCCCTATTTAATGCTCTCAGTTTTCACTGGCTGTTGCAAGAGTCTGTTCAGATTAAGTCTCTGACCAGTTTACACTAAATTTCACTCAGAGTCGGGTCGAAAAAATCAAACACGTCTGAAAAACTCAGACTGGTCTGAAACATGATCAGGAAGCAGTAAATCTGAGTCCGCGCCACCACACACGACTCGACTCTCTCTCTGACTGTCAGCTCTGACTGACCCAAAAATCTGCAGACTGGAGCCGACCAGCTCAGACTCAGACTCAGGACTAAAATCAGGGTAAAAGTCGTGCAGTGGAACATAAAATTTTGGCAGAAAAAATGTGAGTTAAGTCATGTTTCCATCCACTGCCGTTCAATGAAGAAACTTTAAAGTTTAGATGTAGCTGCTGTGATCAGGGGGAGCGTCGAAACAAGCGAGATGGAGAGATTTAACTCTGTTTCTGCTTTAAGTAGAATCATCTTTGCAGCCATCTGCCGTCTTTTTACGCCCGTGTTGTTTGTATCTGAGAGACGCCAGGCAGGACGAGCAGTGGCCACTTAACGAGGGCTAAAATCTCTGACGACGTCCACCTTGAATCTGGCAACACAAACCCAGACAGTTCTGGAGCTCACTGTGCAGAGACAGTTTTCAAATGAGCTTTGATCAGCGCATCAGAATGTCGAAATTGGCGATTGGACCGTCTGAAGGAATCACTGAATCGTGATTTACAGCTTGTTTGATCATTGTTTATTCAAAAACTCTTTCCCTTCAATCTTTTTCTAATTTCAGCTTTAACAATATTCTAACCGTTCTACCTCGTCCTAGCTAAGAACTGTTTTTGCAAAATCTGGGTGTTTTCTCAAATGTTCGCCTTTTTCCATTCAGGTCTTTTTTGCACATTTCCAAAATCCAAAAAAAAAAATCTGGCGGAAAACCCAAAAATGATGGGATAACAGTACTGAAAGTTTGTGCTACTGAATTAATTAAAGCAAAATCTGTAGTGTACAATATTTGTGAGGTGCTTATTAAAGCTTTATAACTACACAGTGAATGTTCTGTAAAGACCCGTCCTGTGAAAATGTGTCTGCAGTTTCAGTGCAATAAACTGTTATTACACTGAAACCTCCCCCCCCGCAACTCACACACACACTAACACACACACACTCCCTCCCCTCACCGCTACAGAGTTCTTCATGTCGGCGACGGCGGAGGTGAACTCGCTGAAGTGGAGTTCGGGGCAGTAGACCAGAGGATGGGCCAGATCTCCGCTGCTGCGACCCGCTTTCACACACGCTGCCTCCCACTCCTCACTGTTCGTCATGACGGCTGCGTGGTACTTCCCTGTGGAGATTCCCTACACACACACACACACACACACACACACACACACACACACACACACACAGAGGAACTCCCCAGGATCCAACATTAACAGAGGCCCCCCCCTCTGGTTGAAGATTCAGGGCCATCAAAACCAGCACAGCCAGACATGCTAACAGTTTTTTTTCCCCCAAGAGCTGTAGCTCATTAACCACAGTGGACACTCACACTTCACACTGACCATCAAACTTCCTCACTGTATTTAAAATTAAACGTCATTATCTGTGATTTGGCTTTTTAACAAGAGTTTTTCAACCAAGTAATCTAGAGCCTAAAAAAGATTGACAATCTTTTCTTTACACAAATGACTGAACTGTGTGATTTCGTACTTGGTCAGAAAACTGAAATTTGTATTCTTATCTGAGATTTTCATTCCACCTGAAATGGTGCAGCTACATTCTGGCACTTGAACTTGAATAAGATGCCAGTTTCAGTGCTGTAGAGACTACAGATCCTTAACCCCACCGGAGAACCAATTCAGAGGCATCACTTTCAGACAGTACATGAGCAGCTGAGCATCACGTGAGCTGAGCATCATGTGATTTGCTGAGTTTAGTCATAAACCCACAAGGGGTCACATGACCAAGCGCAGTCAAAATCTCCACTGTAAGCAGATGATCTTTGGTCACATTACTCTGTGGCTGCCCGTTCAGATCGTTCAAGTACACTTAACCATAAAGAGAACACAGCGTACGGTTCTGCAACATTACGTTATTTAAACATACGTCAGTGAGCACAAACTGCGGGGTCCAAAAGTCTGAGAGTGCTGCTGAAAACGCTTCCATTCTACATTCCATTTTCTGACTTAATACAAAGTTTTTCATTACAAATAAAATCAGAATCAACCAGAACAACCTGAACGAAAAGTGGGATCTTTTAAATATTTACATGAATTTCAGACCTTCTCAGTATTTGGTGGTGTATCCCCCTTTTTGTAACGTGGTCTCAGACTGTTAGGCTTCTCTGTATGTTCAGATATCTACGCTCAGCTGAAACTCACCTGAGCTCCGGTCAGAGTGGCCATATCCAGAATAATATCAGCAGACAGATCCTTACTGGCATAAACAACTCCATCAGACAGCACCAGCCTCCCCTCTGCGTCGGTGTTGTTGATCTCCACTGTCCTGCACAGCAGACGCACACACATCCACACACAACCCACTGCTTTAGGACCAGAGTTCTACAACGTACACGTCGACCCTTACACAGCAGAACCTCATAAATCCTATTATCACACAGTACACTCTTAAAAAGCTGGTTCTTCAAGGGTTCAACCATGAACACTCAAAAGAACCCTCTGCATGATTGAAGGATTCTTTGCATCATCACCTTTTTGAAAAGGGTTGTATATAGGACCATCTACAGCACATTTTCCATCTATCTGAAGAACCTTTCATTATGCAAAAAACCCTTTAATCATGCAACGGGTTTTCGAGGGTTCATGGTTCTTTATAGAACCATTTTCCTTGCTAAAGAACCCTTGAAGAACCATCTTTTTTAGAGTAAAAGGGGAATTCCACAAATTATTATAATTAAATTATAATAATAAAATGTTTAAGATGTAAACAGCGGTTCAGAGCGATTCAGAGTGGTTTGGTGTGAAACGCTCCGCTCTACAGAAACTTACCAAGTCAGAATTGTTCACAGTGGTGGTGATAGGAACCAGGCATCTGATTATGCAGAAATTTTGAAAAATTGGTAGAATTTCCCTTTAAGGTTACACCAGGAAGTGCTGAATGCTGAGTACAGAGGCTACTTTTATGTATTATTTTATGAATTTGGGGAAGAACTGAGGAAATGACCTGGTGACCTCAGCTTGAAGATGCAAGAAAAATACACAGTACTGATCTGAGAGCAGCGCTTACTTTCCAGAGTACAGGGTGTGGATGTCGTCCGGCCGAGTGGCTGTAGGTCCCACTGCGTTCTCAGCCAGGCAGAACACAGCATGGAGGTTGTCTTTGAACCCCTGAAAAAAGCAGACAAAGCACAGATTCAAGAAATGCTGCTTTTTAAATGCACTGAAACATCAAAGCAGTCAAACCAAATCTTCACCAGTTTGACAGTAGCTTTAAAAGCTCCCAGAATGGCAGCTGCTCCTCCGCAGTCTCTCTTCATGCCGGGCATTGTGGTCTGTGAGAAAATAACATAAATCATACTTTATAAACGTAGACATTTCTACCCCCATTGAATATGAAACTGTCTCTTACTGGTTTGATTTATAAACTACCTTCAGAGAAACAGGAAAGCTAGGGAGGAGTTAACGTGGACTTTAATTACTTACATTAAATGGGTTACAAAAATACCACAGTTTTAATAATGAATCAAACTTAAGATAAAAAAAATACTACCTTGATAAATTATTCATATATTTCTTTCATTTATATTTTACCCATTTCAGCATTAAAGTGTATGCTAATCAGTACAGGCGAGCCTTTCTGCCCAGGTCTCTGTGTTAACAGCTGGTTGGACAGTTTGGTACCTACTTTGCCCTTGATGCTGAGACCACCCGTGTCATAAACGATGCCTTTGCCCACCCAGGCAATAGTCTGAGTGGCACTAGAGGGGGTGTGGCTAAGCACAGCGAGAGCAGGAGGGTGTTCAGCTGCTTTACCCACACCATAGATACCTGAACGGGAAACAGAAATATGATTGACCACAGACTAACCAGCAAACTGTACCACGGTGAAGGAATCACACTGCTGCTATTCTGGCAGAGCTTTTCTGGCACAGCTCGGCATGAACACTGAGATGAGCATGATCATCAGGTTTCCATGTTTCTTTTGATCAGAGAGTTTAATATATATCTACCACTGAATATTAATCAAGGACAGAGCTGCCTGTGACTTTCCCTGAATGCATGTGACAGAGCAGAGGATTTCTCATATTACCTCCAAAGCCCCTCTGTTTCAGCTCCTCTCCTCGAATTATAGTTGGCGTGATGCCCAGTTCGTTCCCCACCGCTTTGATCTCCTAGACACAAAATAACACACGGTTAAAGAACTCGAGGTCCGGCAGGAAAACGGTCCTAACTGGCACAAGAACTCCTCCATAATACAGTTAGGGGTGATGGTGATGACGCTAGTGATGGTGATGATGATGGGAGTGATGGTGAGCTTGCCTCAAGGAAATGGTCAGTGTTCATCTCGCTGCAAGGAGTGTCCACAATCCGTGCTGCCAGTCGAACTCCGTCAGCCGTGTTGGAAAGACACTGAGAGACATCATTCAGTTACCATGGACACAATTCAACATTAAAGAGCAGCACAGCAGCGTTACAGACCAACACACTCAGAGTAAAAGAGGCAGTTAACTCTGAAAAACAGACGGGATGTCCAGACAGACAATCTGGAGAACCCCTGATGAGCGTCTGTCTGAGTAAACAGGTCAGGTGGATTTTCCAGAAAACGTTTTAAAATGTGACCACAGATGAAGTTTCGGTACCAATGAGCCTCACCTCCAGCGTGGAGAGCTCCAGAGGGCCGTTGTCCTGTCCGACGGTGACGAACTCCACAGTGACATGCTTCTTCTCTGTCCTGCGTGAGGAGGTAGAGCGGCGGGTGAAGAGCGGGAAAGCGCGGGCGATGGCGCATGCCGACGCAAACACATCCGACCGCTCACAGACCATCTGATCCAAAAGGAAAAACAGCTTAACATGTCAAGCTTAAAAACATGAAGCAGGATCTCCACTCCTGACCTGAGTAGGTACTTAATGTGATCTCACTGATCAGATTTCACAACAAAAAATACCAAAACTCAGGAAGCAGACAGCAATAATCTTTACTCTGCCACAAAAATAGAGCATATAATACATATTATGCACTATATATTTTATAAATATTAAGTAAGTAATATTTTCTAACAATTTTAATAAAATTTGAAGACAGAAAATAAATAGACAGATATCATGTTTATGCATTTAGTGCAACAAAACTGCATATTTCAAATACAAAGTTCACTAGTACAATCTCTGATCTCTGATTAGACTTTGGAGCTTGAAAGGTGAAAAGACAAATGCATTAAACTGGCCTCGGATTTATCTTTATGGACCTGCTGATACAGCAAACGGGACAGAAGAGCAACCAGAAAGTTGCTAAACTCAAAGGAAATTTCTGACACTAATAACGTTAAAGTCAATTTTACAGTATCTCCTTTAAATGCAGTCGATCAGCTGAGACACATTTGGTGTTTGGAGTTTGCTGCTGTAGTTTTAGCACTGGAGCTATTTCACCTCACAGCAACCTGCATGTCTCCGTCCTCCATAATCGGATTTTTAAAAATAAAGTTTTGGCTCAAAATGCATCTCAGAACTACCACAAAACAGAATCTCAGTCATCAGGCAGTGAATTCATAACCATTTCATGTAGTAACTTTCTGTGAGGGAGCTTTAGAGATGAATGTCTTCCTAACACCACCACTGTGAACAATTACATTTCCATTTTTTAATTATGCAGAAATGTAGACAATAAAACCATAAAACAGTGTCTAACACTGTATGACACTTATCTATAAAAATGTTAATCTCCTTTGTACCTTTTTATGGCATATCAGAAACTACCCAAGCAGAATGAGAGGATTCTGAATCGACACTTCAGAGAATCTTTATGAACAAAAGTCTGAATTTATAAGAGAAACAGAAGTAGAAGTGCTGATATGGTGATGCGTCTGGGAAAAAGGGAAATACCAGTTTTTCCACTCAAACAGCCGAGAAAGTCGTATGTACAACAGATAAACTGGGGATTCTAGATGATTCATGGGTTTACGAGATGTGTTGCGTATAACGTGACCATTCAGCTTTTACATGAGTGAAAAACGCTAATCTTGCTAGAAAATATTAACCTGATGCACTTTTAATAGATCTGTGTGATTTTTTACACAACAAAGAAAAAGCTGGATTGTATTCTCTGGATCTCTGTGCTTTGTTTTTCTGAGTGGTGAGTGTATTTATGAACAAACAACCCAACAAAGTGAAGCTGAGTTGACTAGTTAACCATCTGGAAAGTTCAACCTTCAGATGAGCACCTGAACACAGCACAAGCTCAGATCTGATTCAGATCCTCAGCAGCTTGTAGTGTTTTACTCTAATAAACAGATCAGAGGGCGTAAAATCAGATTTTCATCTACTGCATATAAGAACACACCAGATATTAGTCTAATCAAGGACACATGCTTAATAATAATAATAATGATAATAAACTAACTGTGACTCTGTTCTGAAAATTCTGACCAAACACGTCTTCAGCGGATCACATGAGCAGCGGTCAGCACTCAGTCTGTAAACAAGACCCTTTGAACCAGCACGTTTAAAAAGAAGGAAGAAGGGAAAGAGTGTCGCACTGAATGCCACCATGAAGTGAGACTAACCAGGATGCAGCGGTTGCTGCCCGGAGGCAGGCAGGTGCGGACCAGGCGGGTGAGGAAGTGGGCAGAGGCGGGGCAGTTGTGACGGCTGACCCGAGAGGGCAGAGCTGCCACGGTGGCGTAGCTGAGATACAGCGGGCAGCTGTCGGTGGGATTTGGGTTCAGGGCGCCCAGAGCAGACTGCCATATCTGAAACCAAATGAAACAGAACTGTTTTAGAATTCAAACACATTTCTAGAGCCGTAATCACCTGGAGATCCAACCATCATCGTCCACACCTGGTCCAGATCACACTGTTCAGCAGTGCAGCAACACAATAAACTCAAAACTGTATACTACTGTAATATATACACTACACATACCAACACACACGCTGACATACTACACACACATACTAAATACACACTAAACTCACACACACTAACACACCACACAGCTGAATGCTCTACTGTTGGTGGTTTTGGACCCAGTGACTAAGAAGAAATTTCTTATTAAACCCACTTAAACAGTTTTGATGAAGACTCTGACTCGCCAATGTTCTCTTATGTGGGATTTGTTCTTGGGTAAGAACAGAATCTACACACACTCAAGAGCACAAAGGTTAGAACAGTTCTGTGCTTCAAGAACACGTCATGAATCTGACATTCGATCTGTGCGATATGTGACACGACCGCAGAGCCGATTTGATCTGAAAATGACAGACGTGATGTGGAAGGTAATAAAGAATCAATGCGATCTGATCCTGTAACTGATCTACACTGAAACTCTAACACTGGGGGCTCTGACGCTGTTGGTTGTGTAGTTCTGGCTGTGCACTCTTAAAAAAAATGGTTCTTCAAGGGTTCTTTAGTAGAGAAAATGGTTCCATGTAGAACCATGAACACTCAAAGAACCCTCTGCATAATTAAAGAGTTCTTCACATCATGAAAGCGTTCTTCAGATGAATAATGTGCTGTAGTTGGTTCTTTACAGAGCCTTTTTAAAAAGGGATCTATATAGCACCAAAACAGTGTTCTTCTGTTATAACGACCTTAATATCATAACAACAGAAGAACGCTTTAATGATGTGAAGAACCATTCAATCAGGCAAAGTGTTCTTTGAGTGTTCTATACAGAACTACTTTCTTTACTAAAGAACCCTTGAAGAACCATCTTTTTAAGAGTAATGAGAGTAATAGAGTGTATAGAGTGATTTAATAGTTTAGCATCACAGACTGCTTTTTCTTCATCATCATCGTAAATGAGGAGCACCAGTTAAAGCAGATCATTTTAAAGAGCAGCAGAGAGATCAGATCAGGATCGGCTGATATTTCAGTCTCGGTATCAGAAATCAATCAACCTTCATCTCGACGTTTACAGTGAAGTTCAGGAAAGTAAACAGGGACTGAAAAAAAGGTAAGATGAAGTTTATCAACTAAAACAATCAAAAAAAATTATTATAGAAATAAAAATAGCAGTTCAAATAAGAAACAGGCATAAAATAGCAATAAAATCTAAAATAAAAAACACATTAAAAATAAATAAAAGAACCAACTGAGATAATGAGCAATATGAAAAATGTGATCTAAAAAATAAAATTAGTTATTAAAACAAAACAGCAAAGGAACTGACATCAAATAAAACAGCTGCAATAAAATAGTGAGATAAAATAAAATAAACCATAATAAAATTCAATAAAGAGAAAGAAAGAGTTAAACTCAACTAAAACAGTTCCAGGCCGTCTGAAGGTGTTCAGAAATGAAAAATTTAAAATGGAGTTTTAGGCTCTGTTCACACAGCAGGTAAAAGTGGCTCAAATTTGATTTTCTCACCAATTTTTTTTTTGTTTGGCTGTTCAGATTATCTTTAAAATGTGATCTGTATGGGACAGTCTGAACACATCAGCTCCTAAACTGAGCCGCATGAGCAAAACAACAGCTTCACGGCTCATCCAGAGGTAAACAAACACGACTGCCAAAGAACGCCAGTCGCTCCCGGAGGATCAGCTTCATCTTCACCAGCATCACAGGAGCCATCATGAAGCTTCACTGACTGACAGCTGGGCTCATCACCCAGAATGTGTTCGAGCCGTAAAAAGGGCGTGGTCACTTCTTTGGTTCGTGTTCTCGAATTCTTTAAACTTTGCTTTCAGGCTTTTCTTCTTTCAGAATCTCTTCAAACATGGAGGGTTTTGGATGAGTCTCTTCTAATTTTTGTACAGAAACATCAGCCCAAATGTTCTCAGCAACGCGAAATTATGACCAATGTCAAGCTGGATTGACGTAGAGGTGCATGAATTCCGATCTGGCTTTTCAGACTGAGTAGCAATGCAGCAGATCGGACACGTATCAGATTTCAGTACCACATAAAAGCGTTTCAAATCTGAATTGAAAATGTCAGATTCAATGCGGATTTGGGCCACTTTTACCTGCTGTGTAAATGCAGCCTTAGAGACTCATAGTAAAAACTCTCGGTACCTGACAGGTGATCTGGTCACTACAGCGAATCTGATAATGAGATCACAGATGAGGTATTAGCTGCCGTATGGAACTGGACATTAAAACATTCAGTGCATAAAAATAATAAAACCTACGTCTGCAAACACACAGTGTACACACTACACTACTGAGAGCAGGTCTAACAGTAGTGTACATTAATGTAGTGTGTCAACCTCCTCCACTCAGCCTGACACTGTTTTATTTTATCTTAGTTCACTTCTGATTTGATTTTGCTAGGTTATTTTTTATATTTTACTATTAAATTTACTGTCATGGTTATTATGACTTTTTTAGCATCTGATGTCAATCCCTGATGTCTGTAGTGGCTACACTGTAAGTGAGGGTCTCCCTCAATGTACCCCGAGTTTAAATAAAGGTTGGTAAATCCGACCACGTAAAAATCAGCCCCCTTAACCCCCCTTAAGCCCCCTAATGTAGTCAAACGGTTAAGGCATGTTTAGTATCTGAAGCCTGTCTCTAGTTTATAGGTGAGTTATTAACGTAAATCCCTGAACGGTTTTTTTAAAACTTCGTTACATTAAAAACAAGACACAAACATGTCCAGGCCGGCCGACTACACTCGGGCTAAGAGGACAATTATTTACATTAATTAGATTTTTGGTTAAATAATTCGAGCAGATTTATAAGCCTGAAGACTGAACAGCGAACCGCGATTATAAAACAACGCCCGAGCCGATCAGCTGATCAGAATCTGTTCGATCAGAATGTATTTAATGAAGAGTTAAATGACAGTTTGGGTCACAGGACAGTCTGATTATCGCTCAGCAGATCTGAGTAAAAGAGCTACAGTTAGATGCGAGTTGATGTTCTAAGAGGAGGATCAGTGAAAGTCCAGAGTCGAGCTGTGAACACAGCAGGGCGCTAGATGAGCTGAGCCGAGCCGAGCCGAGCCTAGCCTAGCCTAGCCTAGCCGAGCCGAGCCGAGCCTATCCGGTAACACAGATGTGTAGCTTAGCTCTCGGTTACCTCTTTGCTGACCGCCGGCTGCAGCTTCCCTTTAATCTGAGTCCAGTTGATCTGCTGCAGGTTGCTGAGCTGCCCAACGACCAGAACAGGCCGGTTCGGCGGCTCCGAGTCTCCGGCATCAGCCTTAAACTCCAGAACCACGTTCGCCATGTTCCACTGTTCCGCTAACAGCTCCGGCTCCTGTTCTCCAGCTGCACTCACATCTCGCGAGAACATACATACATACATAGTCTCGCGAGAAGCTTTAGGCGCCGAGAGCTCCACTTCTGTCCTAAAACAAAGTTTATGTTTAAGACATATCTGCCTAAAAGATAATATGTACACAGATTATAAAGATAAACCCGCTTACTAAATAATATAACCTACAAGTATATTATATAGATCAACCGACCTAATAAATGATAAAGAGAAATTTACTGAGTCAGAACTGTTCACAGTGGTGGTGATAGGAACCAGACGTCCACCTCCAAAAGCTCCCTCACAGAAAGTTCCTACATGAAATGGTTATGAATTCACTGCCTGATGACTGAGACGCTGTTTTATGATAGTTTTGAGAACTTAAACTCCGTTCATGGTGGAGGGATACATGCAGGGCGCTGTGAGGCAAAATAGTCCCCAAAGAAAACTTATTATTTCAGAATTTCCACTATTTTCCATCATCAACATTCCATATAAACTCAGAAGACTCGTGTAGGTTCACTGGTGGTTCTGGATAGTAAATAAAATGTCTATATTTGTGCTGTAGTCATGGCGACCCCTGGATCCCATCACCACCACTGTAAACACATCTGAACCATTTCACACCAAACCACTCTGAATCTCTCTGACCCTAACCCTCACACACTATGGAGGAAATTCTCTTTTAATAACAGAATATATGTATGTGAGTAGTAAAGAACAGTGTTTATCAATGTAAATAAGGGTGCTCATTCCAGAGAAACTAGATGAATTAATTTTTTTTAACAGGCTGCAGGATCATATTTACATTAGTTCATTTTGCACTGGTAAAACTGACCATTTTAAATCAAACATTTTTTCCACCTTATTTAAATGTTAACTCATGTTCCTGGTCATGTTAATCATAATGTTTAAAAGATTAAATTCTTCTTTCTCCATGATCTTAAACATTAAACAAATACCTGATGTAGATCAGATACCACTAAACAATATGTAGGCTTTATGTTTAATTTTCTTAAAACTGTCCAACATCCAGTTCTGGAATAGATTAAATGTCAGATTAAACCGTTTTGTAGTTACAGCAGTTTCAGTCACACATCAGCATCAAAAACCAACAAACACTGAGTGATGAATTGAGCTGAAGTGTCAACAGTGAGAAACAAACACAGACATTTTAGCCCCAAACATGATTTTTAATAACTGCTCTGCTTAAAATGGACACAGCTGTGTTTGTAGTGGATTATAATGAAATGTCAATATTTGTCACTCTGAATGTCATACAGAACAGCTGCACAGATTCGCCCTCCGGATCAGAAAATACCTTTTAAAGAGAAAATAGTTCGGTTTGGATATTATCAGTAAATAATAACTGCATATAATTCAGCTTCTCCCCACAATCACACTCTCGACACCTTTGTCTTCTCAGCTATCACAGTTTTACTCATTCTCGCATTTAAAATAAATAATAATAATAGTTCATATTGTCCAGGAGACAGTAGTACAGTCACATGACCAGGCCAAGTCTGAGTGGGGGTCAGGGGTCAAGGTTCAGCTCAGAGAGAAAGTTCAGCTTGATGAAGGTCAGCAAATCATCAATCAGACAAATGAATGGGAGGAGGTCATGAAGAAACAGGGAGTGATAAAGAAATTTGGGGGATAAAGAAATGGGGGGGATAAAACAGACACAGACTGAAACATGAAGCTGGATTATAAAGTGCTACACGGAGCTCAGCAGTTCAGCAGTTCAACAGTTCAGGGTGATTAAAGGTTCCGCTGAAACGTTCCGCTGGTTTAGAGCGTCTCACTCTCAGATTTTTCAAAGGAAACAAAAGAAGGAAAAACGAGAGGAAACTGATGAGTGAGAGGATCATGTGACCACTTTAACCTCCATTGATGAGGTTCTCTTTTCTCTGCAGTGTCCACATCTGTCTGTGTGTCTGTCTAATACTGGAGCACACACAGAGCAGAAAGTCCAAAAATTACAACACAAAAAACACAAAAAAGCCCATCAAACACAGACGGTTACACACAGAACCATCGACTGCACTCAGACACAAACCCGGCACTGGGACGGCTGTTGCTGTTGTTGTTGCTGTTGTTGTTGCTGTTGCTGTTGCTGTTGCTGTTGTTGTTGCTGTTGCTGTTGCTGTTGCTGTTGTTGTTGCTGTTGTTAATAACAGCTGAAGTTGAGGACAAACAGTGGAATCTTTCTGATAAGATCATTTTTGGGAACAAAAGGAGACAAAACAGAGCTCCAACGTCTGAAATACGTCCTTTTCCTTCAAGAGCTGATTTAGTAACACTGGACTGTAACAGTGATGAAGATGATGATGAAGATTCTCACTGAGAGCTGAAGAAGACAAGACTGAAAACATCACTCAGGCAGAATGAAGTGGATTCTGATAGACAGTCACTCTCAGACAGACTCTGCACATGGAGGCCACAGGGGACGCTGTTTCTGTGTTTATTTCTGCTGAGGTCAGAACAGATGGCTCACACGAAGGACCTTTTTAAGACTGGGCCCCCCACCCCCAACCCACACGTGCACACACACACACACACACACATACGTACACACACACACGGAATGTGTCCCTAAAACTTTGTTGCGAACAGAATAATTATTAGAATGACGACGATGACGAACAGGATTAAAATGATGAGCATCTTCCGGTTCTTCTTCTGATACTGTTCAGCCTAAAGAGGAACAGAAACACCCGTTATCGTCTGTGAAGCTCTGAGTTTTAACTGTTCAGCTCATAAACAGTAAAAGATCCACTGAAGCTGCTGCTTTAACGGTTAAACACACTGTATCTTCATTAAAGCTTTATCAGCTCCTCACCTTCTGCAGCTGCTTCAGTCCGTCCTCTGTCCTGACGCAGGCCTGCTCCACGTTAAAGTCGATTCTGTCCAGGACAGTTCCCTGTTCAGAGTTCACAAAGTTTCACCAACATACAAACATCAGTAGATTCACTGAAGAACTGATCTGATCTGATCTGTACAGTCTGAGACACACGACCTGCCCTCTCTCCTCTCTCTCTCTCTCTGTCCCTCTCTGTCTATCAGTTATAGTCTGAGATGCAGGACATGTCCACTCTTTCTCTCTCTCTCTCTCTCTCGATCACTCACCTGCTCTACCACCATCCCGGCGAGGTCTCTAAAAATCTCGTTGAGGTCAGAGATGGACTGGACGATCTGTCTGATTTCTCTCTCTCGCTCCTCAACCATCACCGTGTTCTGCTCGACCAGAGCGAGCTGGTCATCTGTAAACCCCTGAGAGAGAGAGAGAGAGAAAGGGAGAGAGAAAGAGAGAGATGGGAGGGTGTTGGGGGGTGTTAATTATAGTGTAAGTTGTTTTTAATCAGTTTTATTTGTTGTTTATTTGTTACTGATAAATGTGACTGGTTATCTTCGCTCACCCGATCATACAGAGCTACATCTTCATCCTCCTCCATCAGAGGACCAGAGTCAAAAAAGTGTCGGGACCTTTCTTCTCGATTCTTCATTCCTGAGGATGATGAACAGGTTGTGGATGATTTAAAAGACTTTTTAAAAAACACACTTAACATTGTTACTGTATTTATAAACGTGAATACTTTTTAGCAAAATGCCTACAGATAAACAAAATTCAGCCAAAAATCAGTTTTGTACTTCAAACACACAAACACAGTCAGCAGCTACGAGGAGATTGATCTCCACCATCGTCCCAAATCAGACATTTTAAGTTTAATATCAGCAAATTTACAGACGCTGATGCAGTGATCAAAGGGAGAACTAATCAATACTAAAGCAGCACCGTGGTGTGGGTGGGGGTGGGGGTGTGGGTGTGCTCACGTTTGAGATAGCTGGACTGCGTGTGTCTGAAGCTGGTGGAGAGCTCCTGAAGACTCTGAGCGAGAGATGAGACCACGTTCCTGAGGAGACGCTCCTCCTGCTCAGTGCAGTGACCACAGCGAGACTGCAGCCCCGTCACTGCCCGCTGACACCTGTGGAACATCTGCACACACAGCACGCAGGACAGCTGTGACTCATAGTAACGGATCAGTACATTTACAGATTTATGGCTATAAAGAAGACAGTAATACATGTGGGATGTAATGATATCAGAACACAGAACTGCTGTCTTCTTTACAAGACTGTGGTAAATCTGTTTTTATCTCTGGACCAATCCCGTCACTGGGAAGAGGTTCAGGACGTTTTAAGCCGCATTTTAAACCTTCACACCTGGCTCCAAAACCTGCCTCTGCAAAGACTTGACTTTTATTGACAATTTTAACCTTTTCTGGAGCCGCCCTTCTTTTTACAGAGTTGATGGGATTCATCCCAATAAGCTGGGTTCACAGATTTTAGGCCATAATATATTTTACTCTGTTTTTAACTCCAGATGACTATTACATACCTCAGCTCTTCATCAAAAAGAAATAAATCTGATTTTTATTGATCCAACTCCAATTAATTTACACTCACGAGAAAACCCTGCAGTAAATGCTGTAACAGATCTTGAGAGTTTTAAAAACAGAAAAGGTTTAGGCATAATTCATCTTAACGCAAAAAGCCGACTTCAGAAAGATAAGATGGATCAACTTAAAGTCCTGATTGCACAATCTGATCCAGATATTTTAATACTAACAGAGACCAGGCTTAGACAATCTGTAAGTGATGAAGACGCAGCTTTAAATGATTTTAACCTTTTTAGAATAGACAGAGAATCAAGAGGAGGCGGAGTTGCTACTTATGTAAGAGTAACTATACAAGCCACCTTATTACCTGCAGCCTCCAAAGAAAAATACTTTGAGTTCATAGCTCTGAAAGTGTCCCTTTCATTTCAGCTCTTTTATTTTAGCTGGGATATACAGGCCTCCCTCTGCTTCGTCTTCTGCTCTTGATGAAATAGCCAATCACAATATACCGCCTCTGAAATGCTGGTCCTCTGGGATTTTAATCTTAACTGGCTTTCTAATGCATCCGATTACTTAAAGGAAATATGTGGAAATCTTACCCTCACACAATTAGTCATGGAATCAACACCCAAATCTGAAGGATCCCACCAAATCTACCCTGCTAGACTAAATTCTGTCCAATAAAATGGACAGAATTACTACCTCAGCAGTCTATGACCTTGGCATTAGTGACCACTGTCCCACTGGATGCATTAGAAACAGTTACAAGAACAAAACAGGCTCTTGGATGGAGGTTAGAAGAAATTTTAAACAATGTAATGAACAAGCTTTTCTATCTGACTTAGTAATGAGTGAAATCCACCTTACACTAGAAATTCCAGATGTTGACTTGACACTAAACCACTTTAGCAAATAATTTCTAATGGTGGTAAACAAACATGCCCCCCACAAAAAGCAAAGAATAAGAGACAGATCAAGTCCCTGGTTCACTACTGAAGTTTCCTCATCGTCTAAAGCCAGAAATAAAGCTTGGTCCACTGCCACATGCACAGGAGAGAGAGGCCACTGGCTTATGTTCAGACAACTGAGAAACAGATGTACCTGTGCAGTTAGAAAGGCCAAATCAGATCATTATCTCAGCCTGATTACCAGCTCTACAAACACTCAGAACTTTTGGAAAACTCTAAAATTCCTCTACCCTTCCAACCAGTGTTATAGTTGATGATCAGCTGATATCTGATCAGAAGGAAATCTGTAGAGCTTTTAACACACATATTGCTGCAGCTGGGCACATTTTTGAAAATAATGACTCGAATCTGCTGTCAGGTAAAACTGACAACAACTCTACTGCTTCCCAGAGCCATGGTCTCTTCACACTCCAGCCCTTCTCTCCAATCATAGTAGCTAAACCTCTTACTACTATTAATCCACGAAAAACTACTTGTGAAGATGGGCTGGACCCTAACTTCCTGCCTCTGGCAGCCCCAGTTATTTTAGAATACATAACATAAATATTTAATCTCTCTCTTTTTTCATGCAGAATTCCCAGGATCTGGAAAACAGCTTATGTAACTCCACTGCATAAAGGAGGTGAGGTGGCAGATGTAAATAACTACAGACCAATCTCGAAATTGTCCTGTTTAGCTAAAATCTTAGAACGTCTAGTAAATAGTCAACTTAAATAATTTCTACACGAAAATTCTGTCCTGTTTAATTATCAGTCTGGCTTTAGAGAAAGACACAGCACCATCTCTGCTACCACACTGGTTTTAAATGATCTCTGTGCTGCCATTTTCATTGATTTATCAAAGGCTTTTGATACAGTTAATCACACTCTTCTTTTAAAGAGCTTACAAAAGATTGGCTTTGACACAAACGCACTAAAATGGACCCAAAATTACCTTTCAGACAGACAACAATGTGTAGCACTGAGCAATTACAAATCAGATTTTTTGACCTTATCCAAAGGAGTACCACAAGGTTCAATTTTGGGTCCAGTTTTATTCAATATATATGTCAATGAACTTGCTGCCTCTGCCTCAGACTGCAAAGTACACCTGTATGCAGATGACATGGTTTTATACTATTCAGCTGACTCTGTTTATGCTGCAATAAGAAAACTACAATGCTCATTTAATACTCTGCAGGCTGCTTTGCGTAAACACAAACTGGTTTTAAATGCTAAGAAAATGAAGTTCATGCTGTTTTCCAGATCTACTAATACTGATTGTAATACTGTAAATATCACTACCCTGATGGGGGTATGTAAATGTAGGCAAAAGCTCAGTTACCTATATAGAAATCGTGGACTATGGTGATGTAATTTACAAACACACGGCCAGTTCCCGCAAACTGCTGGACAGTCTATCACTCTGCACTGAGGTTCATCACTTGAGACCCTCATTACTAGAGACCCTTATAACACTCATCACTGTAGACTGTATGAAAAAGTTGGATGGCCCTCACTAGCAGCGCAGCGGGAAACACATTTGTGTTTTATTTTTATTCATAATAATACTCTCCGGCCGTATGCCAGAATATATAACTTCAATGATGTCTGTAAATAAGGGTATTTATCAGACTCGCTCCAGTGGCTGGATCACATGCCAGGTACTGAGGATTTTTACTGAACTGGGAAAAATCTGATTTTAGTTACAGCACCACCGAGCTGGACCCTCACTACAGGAAACACTAAAGCTCAGCTCACTGGGTCACTCAGTCATTTTACACTCTTACTCTCTAAACATCTCCACTCTGCCTCACACTGTTTTACCTGATTCTGACTATTGTTGTCTTATTTTCACATTTGATTATTTATTTGTTTGTTTATTATTATTTACATTCTTATTTTAATGATGATTATTATTATTTTAGTAATTTTAATACATTTTGTGTTTAATTTTTGATTTTATTCTCCTTTATTTTGATTTGATTGGTGTGTGTGTGTGTGGGTGCGCGTGCGTAGAGGTTAGGGTGTGTGTGTGTAACCTGTGTGATCTCCTGTGTAGTGATCTCGATGGCGTGCTCCTCCTCGCTGCTGTCGTCCAGTGTGGGCCGGTTCATGTGTTTGTCATGGAGGCCGGCGAGCTCCTTCATCTTCTGCCGTATGCGCGTGATCTCGTACTGAATCTGAGGAGAAAACGCTCACTGTTCATCTGAGATCATCACCACCACACTGAGGAGAACCAACCGAGGAACCTCCTGCACTGTAGACTGTCTAGGGTTAGGGTTATGGTTAGACTGTGACCGTGATGGAGAACCTTCTCCCTGAACACAGGAACTAATCTGCTGATCCTGCAGAACCTCAGCTCAGTAAAGCTCAGTCATCAAGAACGTAGAAACAAGAACAAGAACACAAAGACACACAGACTTCATGCAGAACCTCAGAAGAGGAGCAGAAAAACTCTCACACTGCTGTGCTCTTATTAACAATTACATAACCAATCTTTTATTTTGATGATTTCTTGTTTACATGTTCTATATTTATTTTACCTCGTCAACACCTTCGACCCATTTGGGCGGGAGCCGCTTGGTGACGCCGATCGCAGCTTCTGGATCCAAACTGATTCCAGAAACCAGAGCCATCCGATCATCTGCCAACTGAGAGAGAGAGCCAGAGAGCGAGAGAGAGAGAGAGCATGAATAAATGAATGGATAAATATTGAGAGTGAAGTTTTTATCAGTAAAAATGTGGTGAATTTGGAACATTAGAACATTAGAACATTAGTGTGTAAACTGTGATCTGGTAAAGTTCTGTGGAGGTGGTTCTCCCTTGTGATGTAGAATGATTGGGTGGTACCTCATCGTACTCCTAATGTGATTGGCAGAGCCCAGCGCAGTCCCATCCAATCAGGAGAGAGAGAGAGAGAGAGAGGAGGAGCCCAGAGCAGATCAGCGTTAAAATAAACACTCTGTTCAGGTTTGGACAAAATAATTTTTCATAAAAACAAAATAAATAATAAAATAATAATACATCAGGCTGTAGATTGTTCTGCTGTGTGAATCAGATACTGTAGTTTTACAGCAGAACAGTAAGAACCTTTTGTCCATTCCTGACCAAAAGAGTAGTATTATGGGATGGCACCTCGTCACAACCGTAACAAAACCCCACAGAACGTAAACAGTAACTTTACCAAGAACCAAAATGTGTTCTGAACCTTAACCGTTACCAGGTTATTCCTTTAGGAAACTCAATCATTTCTGTTCACAATTAAACGCTCAGCAGATTTAAATGAACAATCAGACGGTTTTGATATGGTGGTGACGATGTGGAATCAGATCAAAATCCAAATCCAGAATAATGTTTAAAAGTGAGATCAGAGGAACAAACACTGAATGAGTTTTCTATAAATCACAGATTTAACATCTATTACATTAATCACTTCACAGGGGAGAGACGGTCATTAAAGCTTTTCATTTCATAATCAGCCGACATGCTTTAAACTCCAGGTTAAACAGAACTGAAATCTGAAGAACATGCAGAGAACATGCAGAGTGGAATGTCAGTACACATGCAGGATAAGCAAAGGAGCAGCTGCACCACCGTCACAGCGGAGAACCGGCGCACTGTGATCAGGAACCTCCCCAAAACACAGCAGGAACGTTCTAACCCTAACCCTCAGACTTAAACCCAAAGAGGTCTGAACAAAGTCACTCAGAGAAACTGAACTAATCCGGACTTTTACTGTCGGTGTGATCAGACAAATCAGACGGTGATTAATAACTAAATATTTAATTCTGCTGTAAATCAGCTTGGAGCTGTATATCAGCCTCTCTCTTAGAACACGCTCAAAGACCCGAACAAGGAAATATTTCATACTGTAATTAATCAGTGAACTCAAATATTTCTTTTATGATTGTTCTAGATACATGCAGCTGCCAGGAAGAACGTAAGGAGCCGAAATTGCAGTGGAGCTTCAGACTGCAGAACAGGAAAACATCTGCAGAACACCTCAGAGACAAGATAAGCCAGTGCAGCCCATCTCACATAGCTGGAAAACCACAGAACCCACCACCACAGAACCCACCACCACAGAACCCACCACAGTACAACTCCATTTCAGAGCTTTGAAGTTTATACATATAATAATATATATGATATGAATTTTGTCATTTTTCTGCTGTAATGTTTTCTATTTAGTGATTTTGCTGATTTATTTTTTGCTTCTAAAATTTTTCTTTTGAACTTTTGGCACTTTTTAACTGGGGGCGGAGCTTAGAACGGGTCATTCACCCGTGCTCTCTATTGGTCAATTGGTCATTCTGGACCGCCTGGTCTTCTGGACACTTAATATCAGATTAAAAGAAAACAAGCAGCGTTAATTAATGCTGATTTAACTCATTATTGCTGTTTGCAGTGTATTTTGGACACTTTTTTATTTTATTGTACTATTTTATTGTATTTAGTAGATTTTATTATTTTATTTGAAACTTTTGGCACAAAATTAACTCCACAGTTTAGAGAAGCTTTTAACATTGATAATAAATCTGTAAAATTATGATAAACATCGACACAAAGAACGCAGAGGCATCAACGCCACTTTGCTCCATCATTAAATTCAGCATTAATTAACTTAATTAATTAACAAACTCATTAACGAGCTCTTCCTGAACTAACGAACTCATTAACGAGCTGTTTCTGAACTAACGAACTCATTAACAAGCTCTTCCTGAGCTGAACTGGGTTTGTTAGAGCAGGAAAACACAACATACAGAGCGCTGCTACTGCATTACAAGAACTGAGAACCACTGATCTAGATACAGTATCTGTCAGTGAGATCTGAGTAGAAGAACCGGGAGACAAAACAAAACCAAACCCTTTCAGGAACGTCAAAGCATTCCGGCACTCCGACAAGGTGTAGGTCAAATTAATTCTAGCAGAGAAACCAGGAGCAGCCAGTTTTACACAGAACTACAGCTTCCTCACACACACACACACACAGACACACACACACGCACACACCCACCTCACACCGACACACACACCTCACAAACACAGACACACCTCACAAACACAGACACACCTCACAAACACAGACAGACACACTCATTTACTCACACACACAGATACACAGACACACGCACACACAGAGACAGACACACACATACATACACCTCACACACACACACACACACACACACACACTCACACACACACACTCACACACACACACTCACACACACACAGATACACAGACACACACACATTCGCAAACAGTGAAGAAATGTGTGAGATGTAGCTTCTCCTATAAATCTATCTGACTGAGAAGATCCAGCTCAACTCCACCCCGAAGATCTCCGCACAGTTAACTTCCAACGTGATCTGACCAACCAAGGCCTTCAGGAGCACCTGGACCTAAGATCCACTCCAGGAGTATCAGTCTCCAGGACGGAGAGCCGAGCGCTGCGGACGTGGGATAAACATCACTCACACAGCTGAACTGATACTGATGGCCTCATATTCTGAGGAGACTCCAGTTCAGACAGACGCAGCTCAGACTCTGAAAGATGGATATTCAACAAAACCATCTACAACAACACGAGGTGGATCTCTTTGTGGGACGCAGTTCTCATTTCCAGAAACTGCTCCATAAAGTTATACTTCTGTAGTTACATGTACAAAAGTGAAATCTGAATGAAATTGTACCATCAAATTAGTATTAAAAAATGGGCCAAGTCCAAAACATAATGGTTCTTACTGATGGTTCCTGGGTTTTTACTGATGGAGCATCACTTCATTAACAGCTACTAGCGCTGCTCTGTAGGCGACCCTGCCAGTCTGCAGTGACAGCAGAGGAGGGTAAAGTTCAGCTCCTCACTGCTGGGCTTTAGTTACATTTAGGGCATCATACGCCTTCAAAGAGGGGGGCATTTATTTATTATCACCCACCCCTAATTCTTCAGTTATATGAAGCTGAACTCAGATATTCTCCAGGTTCTCTTTTGAATTTTCTTGTTCCACCATTTACGGTTTCACCATAAAGTGTTACTGATGCTTTAATGACGGTGGCTGACTGTCTCACATTCACTATACGAGTCTCAAAGTCTTAACAGATTATAACACACTGGGCGCCTGGTTTCTAACCTAACCCAGGTTTTTTTGGGTGACTGAATTATTGGGGATCCACACTAAACGACTTGTCAACTGTTGCTGAACCAAACGGACCTCAGTGAACTCGGTGAACTCTCTAAATTTGGGCGAACTCTCGCGTTTTCCTGTTACTAGGAGACGCAAATAAACAAACTGCTGCTGCTGCTGTTTTCTCTGCTGTTTGCACTGAAACAGTAAAGAAGCAGCAGGTAAACATGTTTAACTGAGGATCACTGATTAAAGGGTCCGATTGATCCAAAATTCTGAAGAATAGAGCCAGCTCAGCGTAACCTGGCTTAACACACGCGTCAGCCTCGAGTCCTCGCGGACCAAAACACTGCAGACTTCAGCTCACTGCCTCCTTAAACACTCCTGATTCTGCTCATCAGCTAATTTGCAAGACATTCATAAATTGAGGATAAACGCTGATTTCCACAGCACTTTGACCCAGAAGGTCCCCAGTTTGACAAGCCTGCACTAACATAACTGGGGTGGCTGTGTTTCTGTCTGGGTGGCACTGCTGTGGGGGTTCCAGGTGTTTCCATGATTGGAAAACTCTTCTGTTGATGTCCAGATGTGTGTCTGCATTAAGGCCTATTTACGGGCCAGGCAACGAGCGTCACTCAACAAAAAATGACATAATACACACAAAATGTGTGTCTGCTGGGCGTCACAGACCTCGTCAGTACATCAAAAAATTTGAAAGGGCGCAGATGTTGTTGCTCTCTGATTGGACAGAAACTCAAACTTTAAATCCTGGATTGTTGCCGTGGTGACAGTGTGCGGCTGTGTTTATGGTCTTGCTGCTCGGCTACTTTCGGAAACAGAACGGGTCGCCAGCTATTCAGAACCAGGATCGGTATACATTCAAACCTTTTTCCGCGACTGTGATGACTCCATTGGCTGCCTGTTAAATTCCGTATTAATTACAAAGTTCTTTTATTGACGTATAAAGCCCTACATGGGCTCGTTCCTGAGTACCTACAAGACCTTATTTCCCATTATGAGCCACCACGATTACTCAGATCACAAAGTGCTGGCTTTTTAATAGTTCCCAAAATTCAGAAGGTTTCAGCTGGGGGAAGAGCCTTTTCTTATAAATGATCTTCCAGAAAATGTTCGGGACTCAGACTCAGTCGCAGTCTTCAAATCTAGGCTGAAAACTCACTTGTTCAGTTTAGCTTTTGGTAGTTAATGTTCCCCCTTACTGTGATGGACTAGCGACCTGTCCAGGGTGTATCCTGCCTTCCGCCCAATGACAGCTGGGATAGGCTCCAGCACCCCACTGCGACCCAGTAGGATAAGCGGTTTAGATGATGTATGTATGTATGTATGTATGTTCCCCCTTGGATAAAGGCAGCAGATCCAGGGGTCCATGGACACAGGGAATTATAGTAAACTGAGACGCTGGTGCTGTCGTCCCGCCGCTCGCACGCCATCACTCAGGTTTGTGGATGGTGGAGCGGAGGGATGCCAGATTGTCTCAGGGTGTTCCCGTGTCTGTGTGTCCTTTTGGTTCTCTCCTTTTAGTTAAGGTGTTATAGTCAGATTTGCCGGAGTCGTTAGCCACACTCTGGAAATGTTCACATTCTCTGTTTTACATACACTCAAACAGAACAAAACTAATTCCATCTCCCTACCTTTTTCCAAGTAAACGACTGCCCACCTGCCGGACGGACACTGATGGATGATTGTCTGCGGAGCTCTCCTGCTATCTGCTTCAGACCAGTTGCCCACGCCCCAGTCGCCGCCACTTGCCCAGCTACCGCCACTTGACTTGGACTAGCTGCCCACTCCCACTCTACACTGAAGTTTTCATGGACTCCTAACTACTACAACTACTGCTACTACTATTAATATTAGTAGTATGATAATTTTGTAGGTAGTTTGACCAGAGGAGGATGGGTCCCCCCATGTGAGCCTTGGTTCCTCCCAAGGTTTCTTCCTCAGCTCTGAGGGAGTTTTTCCTGGCTTGCCCACTTGGAGGATTTACATTTCATGTTAAAACTTTGTCCTTAATGGATTTCTGTGAAGCTGCTTTGTGACAACATCAGTTGTAAAAAGTGCTATACAAATAAATTTGACTTGACTTTAAAAAGTTGGCTGAGTAGAAAACTCACCCGAGACAGTGCGCTTTTGAGAAAACTGCTAATCTGGCAACCCTGCATGACTGAGAAGTTGTGAGTGAAACACATGCGTGTGGAAAATAAGCAGTGTTTTGGTTGCCGTAGCAACGCTGCGGCTTAAAGTCCTGCTGTTAATGCAGTTTGACTGGAGCAGCTGTTTTCTGTTCTGCGTGTTTCTCTGTTTCTGTGATACGAGTTTTCATAGAAACTGCAGATGATGCTCTATTCCGATGTTTTCTCGCTGGTGCTGGACTATGAAAGCCTGCAGCGCTGACCCGTCTGTCCACTCGACTGGACTATAAACTGGCCTTTAATGTTCTACAGGAAACTCAGCGCTTTAGATTTTCTGGATCATTCATTTTGACCTTATTGGACTCTTCAGTAAACAGAGGCGGTTGTGTTTCTATGGCAGCCGCTGAGTGACATGTGTTCAGCTGTGACGTTGCTGCACTGATACATTCCATCCGTTGCGTCACTGTGACCCAACAGGTCCTGATCTGCGCATTAAAGGAGAAGCTGGGAGCAAATCTTTCACAAAAAAATCTTTTCAAACATCAGCCCAATCCTAACTTTACACTCTCTGATCTTCTATGACGTTGTATTGATCATGTAGCTGGTGTCGCTCGCGGTGCTGTTACTAATGAACATAATCGATGACGGAGGGTCTGCAGCTCCTCCTCGGCTTTCAGTTACACAGCAACTCAAAATCAGGCAGCGTTTGTTGAAGCACCACTAGCTTTCAACAAACTCAGACTTTTACAGGACAGACAGTCAGACAGACGGACAGACAGCTGTAACTCTTAGACACGCAGCTGAAGCTGGCCTGTCCGAATTCCTCCGTTCCACCTTAAATGGTGCAGTAGTTACACTAAAGTGCAGAATGGCGTCTAAGTACTGAACCGTTTAAGGTGGAACGGGAAATTCGAAGAGGCCAGATTCAACCTCGTCTCATACACACACACACACACACACAGAGCAAAGCAGATGTATTCACACAGAAACGTGAACGTTAGACTCACCGCAGCACTGCTACGTGTGTTCAGAGTGCGGCGGGGCTCTTTTGTACTCACTTGCTCTGCCAAAATCTGCCGGTTTTGGATCGCATTGTTCCGCATTAATAAGAAGGCGTCGGTCAGGCGCCTAGTTGCCATGGCTACTGCCTTTACCGGAGAGCCGGAGAGCCGGTCAGCGCGATCTAACAGAGCTTTTCTAACGCCAGATCGTCCCGGATCACCGGCTAACAGACGGCAGCGCCGCAGAGGGAGCAGACAGGCTCGATAACCGATCACCGATCAGCTCCGGTTCGGACTGACCGGCCGCTCCCTCTCCGACTGTCCGCGCCGCAGCGACTCTGAACGCGGCGAAAAAACACACATTAGACGGTAAACCGAGCCGCTTCACCGCGGAGCAGTCCGGCCTCCACCGACACTAAACATAAATACGAGCTCTCAGAGTCACTTCCGCCTAAGACGGAGATGCTCAGTGTGAAGGAGAGAGAGCACAAACATGAGAAAATAAAATACAATAAAAAAGCGTTTCGACTTAATAATCAGTAATAAGCCTTACAATCAACGATGTCTTATTTCATTTGTACCAATTTTACAACACTATTAAAATGGAGCTGTTACAATATCGTTATTTTGAGCTTTTCTCGAGTTGCTCATCTCGCATCTGTTTACGCTCTTCGCGTACAGCTTCCGAGTGAACTACGGCGCCTCAGAGGAGCCAAACGCGAGAATTCAAACGGGCACCCTGAAGATTGCGCGTATGACCGCGGGGGGGCAGTGCTGCGCTGAGCTGAGATTATTTCTGATCAGAGAACCAGAGCCGGTGTATGACGAGTCTGGCCTCTTCCTATTTCCCCCGTTATATCAGAAACAGGACTGCTGATCAGCAGAGGGCGTCCGCGAGTGAGTCCTCAATGAATGGGTGTAAATGCTCCATATCAACCCATTCATTTTTGGCTCGCTCAGGAGCGCCCTCTAGTGTTTGGGAAACCCGGAAGACATTATAGAGTGGTAATTCTCCTCTCTTCAAGTTCTCTGAGAGAACACCTCACGTTATGATGTCAGTGAGCACAAACAGCCAATGACCTGCTCCGCTCGCCACCCAATCAACACTCAGTAGCAGTAATGCTAAACAATTAGCACTTAGCAGTAAACAATTAACAATTAGCAGTAATGTTAACCAATCAGCACTTAGTAGAGGAATGTTAACATCCTGCTTCCCAAAAGCCATTTGCTTAAAAAAGGGAACATACAGGTTTAAGTGATTAGAAACTATTTTAACCTTTTGTCTTAGCCATTTAGCTCCATTCTCTTCCATTCAGTAAGGACTCGCTCACGGGCGCCATCTGGTGTTTTACAGTTCTGTTTTTGCTATAACAGGAGAATCAGGAAGAAGCCAGATACGAACCAGCTCCAGTTTCTGACCACAATGGAACCTTTTCACATTTCCGGGGTTCTCACTTCCATCGGTTTCTTTTTTTTTTTTTAATGTAGATGAAATGAATCGAGTACAGCTCTTAAAACACGTGTTAAAAATAAATAAATAAATAATCGGTTTCTAACTGGACACATCAGTGTTTTCAGACAACACGTTTTGGGTTAAAAGTAACTGAAATATTTCTATACCCAGTTATGGATAAGTAACATAGGTTAGTGTGTTGTTATTTAACTCATCACTCTTTAGAGTGTAAAAATGTATAGAGGGAGAAGAGAAAAAAAGAAGAAGAAAAGGGCTGTTTCACAATAACGGAAATTTGTAAATATGCCTAATAAAGAATAGTTATAGGTCTTTATCGTCTTTAACACATTTCAGTGATTCACTCATACGTTTTAACTCATTCTTCCAGGCTGAGTTTAAATAAAAAAAATTTCTGTATAGAAAAATTCTCCAACAACATCAACACAATATTGAGAACAAATGTTTTCCAGCAAAACATCAAATGTGAATGGTACAAAAGAAGAAAAAAAACTGTCACACTTCCCTCTGGCCTGACTGAAACTACAGCCAATGGGGCCACCCAGGACTCCAATTCCCAGAACTTCTTTGCTGCAAAACCTGAACCGTTTTCTGTGTATGACCTTCATTCCAGCTGTATCCTTTTGTTCTGTGTTGGTTTTCTGGGTGTTGACTTTCTGCTCTTCATGGAGGCCTTTTTAATTTTAAGTTCAGAAGTTGGCTTATTTAACTGGGATCATGTCAAATCAAAATATATTCATTTCACAGACCTTGTTCAGCCTGTAACACATTTCAAAGATTGACCACCAAGGTCATGCCTAATCTGCAAGCTATCACCTCTATTGAATGACACCTCTATTGTCACTTCTATTCAGTTCAACTGAGGCCCACTTGATATACAAGCTCCTGACCCAGTCTTTTTCCTTAACCCTCTTTCATTCATTTTCTGCCCCTAATGTTCTGACTCTAACATTAGAACCTTTGTCCTTAACCATTAACTGTAACTCTACAGCCCTATATTTTTTTTTCCTTAACCCTAATTTCAACATGAATCCTCTCACTGTAATTATCCTTTCTGTTATCCTAACACTAACCCTGAACATACCTTTAATGACCCTAACCCTGCTGAACCTGTGACTCTAGTTCTAGTGATCCTAGCTTTACTGACCCTAAACCTTCTGACTCAAGCCCCACTGAGCCTAGCCCTACTGACAGTAGCTTTACTGACCTTTAGCCCTTGTGACCCTAGCCCTAGAAACCCTTACACTACTGATCCTAATCATAACCCATACCATACTGACCTTGGCATTAATGAGTCTAGCCTTACTGACCCTCATAGTTCTGTAACACTAAATCCACCCTAATGGTCCTAACTATACTGAACCTAGTCCCAGCTAAAGACCCTAGTCATGCAGACATTAGTCCTTGCAACCTCAGCCCTATTGACTCTAAATATCCTGACCTAATTCCTAGTGACCCCAGCCCTATTGACTCTTATCCTACAAACTTAGGCCTTGTGACACTTGCGTTCCTACTTGCTGTCACTAGCGGCAGGTTTAAGGGATGCTTGTGACAAAATCCAATTGGTCAGTTTAGATTGGCATCTGACCAAAACCCATAAGATTACGAGGAATGAGCTGGAGCAGATGCTGACTGAGGCCAAGCGGAAACGCATCATACAGAAGCTTACAGAGCTCAGGTCCCGTGCACCTGCACCGCCCATGGTAAGTGAGTTAGATCTTAGAATGCAAACCTCCGTAAGAGCCATGTCACGTGGTTCATTCTTCACATGCACCACCTGAGCAAGATTGAACAGTTCACGAATCTGAAGTTCCTGTATGACTTCCAACAGATCTGAGAGTAAGTATAGAGTTCCATGTTCTAACATTGACCAGATTTTTAAGCCATGCATGATGGCTTTAAGGCTGGCTTTCGTTACAGGTGACCTGCTGTCCTGCTCCAGCAAGGCTACACCTCAACCTCCATAAAGAACATGATGCTCAACGTGACCACGTTCATAAGGCATGTACAGCTCAAAAAGCTCCAGAGGGACAACTCGCAGAGGATCAAAGCCCACCAGCAGACAGTCAAGTAGAAGAATTCAAGTGATTATGTGCCATTTACCCATACTCTCACAGCATGTATTATAATTATGTGTCTTTTGTGCAGTCTGTCTCATTCTGCATTTTGCCTCCAGAATTGCTGAGACCCAGCAGCGATTTAGGAACCTTCATGCACATCGACTCTTGCAAAGTTTCCAAGCTGACTGGTGAGTTAATGCCCAGTAACAGAGCTTTAGGTTGACTCTTTAAAGCACCCATGGGTGACTTTCTTTTTCTCTGCCCTCAGATATGATCCAGAGAAAGCCCCACGCCAAGCTATTCAAACTGCTGCAGGGGTATCTTGCCGGTTATCTGGCCATACTGACCAAGCACCTCCTGGTAGTTTTGGCCAAGCTCAAGAAGGACAAAGTGCAGGAGGCTGAGATGGACACCCAGAACTGGGCCATGATATGTGTAAGGCCCATTTCAGGTCCAATCTCTAATTTCTCTCACAGTGTTTTTTTTGGGTTCTGGTTTGAGTGTAGAGTGAACCCCATGCCATTTCAGGTTGACCAGCACAAAACCGCCAGAGCATATGGGAACGCTTTCCTGACACTCCTCCCACAAGAAGTGGACTGGCTCAAAGGCCTCATGGAAGTGTCACCGCACTTTGGCAGGGAGCGGTGCCCCTATGTGTTCCAGTTCAATGGGAAGCAGCTCTCCAAGTTGAACACCAAACTGAGAGCTGCATGGCATCACGCCGGGATGCATGGCCAGATCAGCTTTGGCTTAATACGGACCGCAATCTCCAGCCAGGTAAGGAACCATCATCCATGAAATGTGGGTCTTTGGCTGGGCATTGTCGTTTCACACTTGCCCCTGCCCAGAGCTCCATGCTTAAGCTGTTCACTTTGTATTTGCAGGTGAGGAAACGCCTGCCTGCTGAGGAGCGAAAGCTTGTTTGTGAGGGGATGGCCATGAAGTTGCGACAGCTGATCGCTTTTACACTGCAGTACCCAACATTCAGGATGTGTTCCATGTGACTTCTGCATGAAGGCCATGGAGCAGGACAGCCTGGAGCTCAGCAACCAGAGTTCAACCAGTGAGGACGAAGACACAGACAGCTGCTCATCCATGGGTGACAGCAGTGCAGAGACCTAGGTTTAATAAAATGTTTGAAAGGAGTCATTTGTCCATTTGTCCTTTGTCCACACAGTAGCACACACTGGGAGAGCTTACACAGGTTTAGGGGAAGATGAGCCAAGTCTCCCCTTTGTGTCTTTCGCTCCTAGGTGGTACGGTTCATAACACATGCCATGTGAACCGACCCATAGGGCAGATTGAAAACTTTTTTAACCCAAGAGAGAGCATTACATTTGGGGTGAGGGGTTTTAGAGTTAGGGCTATTGCTGTACTTAGGCTTAAGATCAGGTCCAGGCCCAAGGTAGACTTATGGTTAGGCTTGGGTTAGGGTTAGGCCAGAGGTTTGGTTTAGGCCGTAGGTTCTGTTTGGGTCCTTAGGGTTAGGGCCAATGCTATGCTTAGGCTTAAGGTCATGTTTTAGACTCAAGGTGTGCCTACACTTAGGATTGGGTTAGGGCCAGGCCAGAGGTTTGGTTTAGGCCCTAAGTAATGTTTGGGACCTTACGGTTAGGGCCATGTTTTAGACTGAAGGTGGGCCTACGCTTAGGATTGGGTTAAGGCCAAGCCAGAGGTTTGGTTTAGGCCCTAGGTTATGTTTGGGGCCTTAGGGTTAGGGCCAATGCTATGCTCAAGGTAGGCTTAGGGTTGGGTTTTAGGGTTGAGGTTAGGTTTTAGGGTTTGGATAAGGTTAGGTTTAGAGTTTAGGTTAAGTTTCAGGGTTAGGTTTAGGGCTAAACCTCAAAACCTAACCTTAACTCTAACCCCTAAACCCTAAACCCTAAACCCTAAAACCTAACCTTAACCCTAAAGTCAGCCCTAAATCTAACCTTAGCCCTAAAACACAACAGCAAGTCAGAGAACGAACAGGTGTGGTAGAGTAGATTAATGAATTTTAGGAATTTTAGGACACATCATCAGTAGTGTACCCCAGAGTCATCAGGTGTTTCGGCCTTTAAACACTATACACCCTCATCTGAGGCGGCCAGCCATAGGTTGATCAAGCCCAGGCTTGTGTCCCATGCCCAAATCAGTTATTTATTTTTAAAGTATTATATTGTATAAAAGCTAATGCAGTGTTTTAGATAAATGCTGTTGTATTTTTAAGAACGCTATTTTTAGCCTTTTTTGCTTTTTACAAAGTTGGATTTTTTATTGTTAACTGTGGTGTGTGTGCTGATAGAAGACTGGGCGCTCATTTAAGATCTGTTTGCCCCAGACCACCTTCCCTGCGTGCTGTCCTAGTGGACCCAGAGAGGCTGAATACTTACCCCTTGCCCAACTGACCCTTCGTTAACACCGCTAGGTTGCCCAGGTCAGCCAGACAAGGTCTGAGAATTTGGGCCTATCCCAGTTAGTCTCCCCGAGCGACGGGTAGAAAACCAGGACCGGAAACCGTGCCCCAACCACCCGTTGCCAGGTGGCTGACTCCAAGACCCGGGAAGGTAGGTCCCGTGCAATACGTCACCTCCCAGACAGTCTTGGGCGGAGGTCCAAGCCGGCGGATAGCTTTCCTTCGAATTCCAGGCCGGTGTGGTCCAACGCTGAAATATTTCCGGAAAGATACCAAGCTTCTACCGCTTTGGATCCCCTATTTGGGGTTGTACACCAATGGCGGACTGGTCCCTCCACCGTTTAGGTGCAGGGATTCGTCAAGCTTCTACCAGAGGCGCTCACCCCATCTATCAGCATTGTGGTTTTCTGGGGGATTTGGATCTTGGCTGTGGTAAAATCCATCGCGGTGAACTCTTGTATTTTTATGTTGTAGAATTGTTCTTCAGAGTACCAGCTTTTATTAGCAAAAAACCCCGTGTCCGTAAATGGCATCGTTTTGGAGTTATTAGCATTTGAAGATTTGGTTTTGTGACCATTTGCATATTGGGAAGACTCCCAGCATTCCTTGAGAATCTACCATCATCTAGACTTTTGTTCATTTTGGTGTGGTTCCTGGTTTTGTTGGCTTATTTGATATAATGGCTCCCTATGACAGGGAGTCACTCGCACCATTCTCCCCCAAGGGACGAATAGTGGGCTCCAAATTTGGGCTTGTAGTCCCAAGTTATAGTTTGGAGTCCACCCCTGGTTAAGGTGGGGGGCCCCGTTGTTTGGCCCCCAACCACAGATTGGGTGGGGGGGGGAGAGAGTTAGGGTAGAGGTTTGGTTTAGGCCCTAGGTTATCTTTGGGGGTTTTAGAGTTAGGGCTAGTGCTGTACTTAGGCTTAAGATCAGGTTCAGGCCCAAGGTAGACTTATGGTTAGGCTTGGGTTAGGGTTAGGCCAGAGGTTTGGTTTAGGCCCTAGGTTCTGTTTGGGGCCTTAGGGTTAGGGCCAATGCTATGCTTAGGCTTAAGGCCATAAGGTTAGGTTTAGGGCTAAGTATAGGGTTTAGGGTTAGGTTTAGGGCTAAGGCTAGGGTTAGGTATTAGGGTTTAGGGTTAGGTTTAGGGCTAAGGTTAGGGTTAAGGTTAGGTATTAGGGTTAGGTTTAGGGCTAGGATTAGGGTTAAGGTTAGGTTTAGGGCTAAGGTTAGGGTTAGGTTTTAGGGTTAAGGTTAGGTTTAGGGCTAAGGTTAGGTTTAGGGTTAAGGTTAGGTTTAGGGTTCAAGGTTAGGTTTAGGGCTAAGGTTAGGCTTGGGTTAGGGTTAGGCCAGAGGTTTGGTTTAGGCCCTAGGTTCTGTTTGGGGCCTTAGGGTTAGGGCTCTAGTTAGGTTAGGCTAAGGTTAGGGTTAGGGTTAGGTTAGGTTTAGGGTTAAGGTTAGGGTTAGGTTTTAGGGTTTAGGGTTTAGGTTTAGGTTTAGGGCTAAGGTTAGGGTTAGGTTTAGGGCTAAGGTTAGGTTTAGTGTTAGGTTAGGGTTAAGGTTAGGTATTAGGGTTTAGGGTTAGGTTTAGGGCTAAGATTAGGGTTAGGTTAGGTTTAGGGTTAGGTTAGGGTAGGGTTAGGGTTAGGGTTAGGTTAGGGTTAGGTTAGGGTTTAGGGTTAGGTTTAGGGTTAGGTTAGGGTTAGGGTTAGGGTTAGGGTTAGGGTTAGGGTTAGGTTAGGGGAACATACAATGACTTCCCCCATCAACTGTCATCAGACAATTGTGGTTGGATAGGAAGATCAAGGGTAATGCACGGGCCGCCGCTTGTTAAGCAATGCCATCGGGCCTTCCAGTCCCTCTGTCCAGGAGTAAATTTCCTTTTATTTATTAATTTATTGGAAAATTGTTGCAAGTTGACATAGTTGCATTAGGTTTGTATTTATGTTTGATTCTTCCAACTGGATCGCAAGGCAAAGAACAAAGAGGTGAAGAGAGGGATGCGCCACTAGACTGAGCAGGGCACCCTCAAGACCTGGCTTGGCCTATGTTTTTCACCTATTCATTCTCCTTCCCACGACCGCAAGTCAGAGAACGAACAGGTGTGGTAGAGTAGATTAATGAATTTTAGGAATTTTAGGACACATCATCAGTAGTGTACCCCAGAGTCATCAGGTGTTTCGGCCTTTAAACACTATACACCCTCATCTGAGGCGGCCAGCCATAGGTTGATCAAGCCCAGGCTTGTGTCATGCCCAATTCGTCTTATTTATTTATACTTTCAGGTGTTTTATTAAGTTTATGGTATAAAAGCTTAGCATTTTTTATGTGCAGTCGACAGTTTCAGCGTCTTGGGCGAGGTCCAGCCGGCGGATAGCTTTCTTGAATTCCAACCCTACCCGATTCCCTAACCCTAGGATTAGGGTTAAGGTTAGGTTTAGGGCTAAGGTTAGGTTTAGGTTTTAGGGTTAAGGTTAGGTTTAGGGCTAAGGTTAGGTTTAGGGTTAAGTTTAGGGCTAGGATTAGGGTTAAGGTTAGGTTTAGGGTTCAAGGTTAGGTTTAGGGCTAAGGTTAGGCTAAGGTTAGGGTTAGGCCAGAGGTTTGGTTTAGGCCCTAGGTTCTGTTTGGGGCCTTAGGGTTAGGGCCAATGCTATGCTTAGGCTTAAGGCCATAAGGTTAGGTTTAGGGCTAAGGTTAGGGTTAGGGTTTAGGGTTAGGTTTAGGGCTAAGTATAGGGTTAAGGTTAGGTTTAGGGCTAAGGCTAGGGTTAGGTATTAGGGTTTAGGGTTAGGTTTAGGGCTAAGGTTAGGGTTAGGTTAGGTTTAGGGTTAAGGTTAGGTTTAGGGTTAGGTTTAGGGCTAGGATTAGGGTTAAGGTTAGGTTTAGGGCTAAGGTTAGGTTAGGGTTAGGTTAGGTTAGGTTTAGGGCTAAGGTTAGGTTTAGGGTTAAGTTTAGGGCTAGGATTAGGGTTAAGGTTAGGTTTAGGGTTCAAGGTTAGGTTTAGGGCTAAGGTTAGGCTAGGTTAGGGTTAGGGTTAGGTCTTAGGGTTTAGGGTTCAAGGTTAGGTTTAGGGCTAAGGTTAGGGTTAGGTCTTAGGGTTTAGGGTTAGGTTTAGGGCTAAGGTTAGGTTTAGGGTTAGGTTAGGTATTAGGGTTTAGGGTTAGGTTTAGGGCTAAGATTAGGGTTAGGTTAGGTTTAGGGTTAAGGTTAGGGTTAGGTTTTAGGGTTAGGTTTAGGGCTAAGGTTAGGGTTAGGTTTTAGGGTTTAGGTTTAGGTTTAGGGCTAAGGTTAGGGTTAGGGCTAAGGTTAGGGTTAAGTTTAGGTATTAGGGTTTAGGGTTAGGTTTAGGACTAAGCTTAGGGTTAAGATTAGGTAAAGGTTAGTTTTCAAGGTTTATGGTAAGGGTTAGGCATTGTGGTTTGGTCTATGTATAGATATTTATGTTTGTTTAGGGGAACATACCATGACTTCCTCCATCAATGGTCCTCCGACCATGTGGTTGATAAATCCAACTGCATTGCGAGGCGAAGAACAAAGAGGCGAAGAGAGGAGTGCGCCACTAGACTGAGCAGGGCACCCTCAAGACCTGGCTTGGCCTATGTTTTTCACCTATTCATTCTCCTTCCCACAACCGCAAGTCAGAGAACGAACAGGTGTGGTACAGTAGATTAATGAATTGTAGGACCCATCATGGATAGTGTACCCCTGAGTCATTAGGTTAGGTTTAGTGTTAATGTTTGGGTAAGGGTAAAGGTTAGAGTTAGGGTTAGGTCTAGTTATAAAGTTTTATTTTAAGAGAGAAGTGATAGTATTCCTTAGTATTGTGTTTGACAGGGGACCGCTGGGATTCGAATAGCATGCTTGGTCCGAAGGCTCTGGCTGGGTTAGGTTAGGGGAACATACAATGACTTCCCCCATCAACTGTCATCAGACAATTGTGGTTGGATAGGAAGATCAAGGGTAATGCACGGGCCGCCGCTTGTTAAGCAATGCCATCGGGCCTTCCAGTCCCTCTGTCCAGGAGTAAATTTCCTTTTATTTATTAATTTATTGGAAAATTGTTGCAAGTTGACATAGTTGCATTAGGTTTGTATTTATGTTTGATTCTTCCAACTGGATCGCAAGGCAAAGAACAAAGAGGTGAAGAGAGGGATGCGCCACTAGACTGAGCAGGGCACCCTCAAGACCTGGCTTGGCCTATGTTTTTCACCTATTCATTCTCCTTCCCACGACCGCAAGTCAGAGAACGAACAGGTGTGGTAGAGTAGATTAATGAATTTTAGGAATTTTAGGACACATCATCAGTAGTGTACCCCAGAGTCATCAGGTGTTTCGGCCTTTAAACACTATACGCCCTCATCTGCGGTGGCCCACCATAGGTTGGTCAAGCCCAGGCTTGTGTCCCATGCCCAATTCCGTTACTTATTTATTTATAACTTTCAAGGTGTTTTATTAATTATATGGTATAAAAGCTTATGCATTTTTTATGTAGACAGTCAGACAGTCTTCAGACAGTCTTGGGCGGAGGTCCAAGCCGGCGGATAGCTTTCCTTCGAATTCCCTAACCCTAACCCGAATTCCCTAACCCTAGGATTAGGGTTAAGGTTAGGTTTAGGGCTAAGGTTAGGTTTAGGTTTTAGGGTTAAGGTTAGGTTTAGGGCTAAGGTTAGGTTTAGGGTTAAGTTTAGGGCTAGGATTAGGGTTAAGGTTAGGTTTAGGGTTCAAGGTTAGGTTTAGGGCTAAGGTTAGGCTAAGGTTAGGGTTAGGCCAGAGGTTTGGTTTAGGCCCTAGGTTCTGTTTGGGGCCTTAGGGTTAGGGCCAATGCTATGCTTAGGCTTAAGGCCATAAGGTTAGGTTTAGGGCTAAGGTTAGGGTTAGGGTTTAGGGTTAGGTTTAGGGCTAAGTGTAGGGTTAAGGTTAGGTATTAGGGTTAGGGTTAGGGTTAGGGTTAGGGTTAGGGTTAGGGTTTAGGGTTAGGGTTAGGGTTAGGGTTTAGGTTAGGGTTAGGGTTAGGGTTAGGGTTAGGGTTAGGGTTAGGTTAGGGTTAGGGTTAGGGTTAGGGTTAGGGTTAGGTTAGGGGAACATACAATGACTTCCCCCATCAACTGTCATCAGACAATTGTGGTTGGATAGGAAGATCAAGGGTAATGCACGGGCCGCCGCTTGTTAAGCAATGCCATCGGGCCTTCCAGTCCCTCTGT